CACCAGTGCCATCTCAGTGCTACCTCACCAGTGGTGCACTTGGCACTATAAGTGACCATCAGTGCAAAGGGGCCAATATGGGGTGAAACATTATGTGAAGGAGCAATGGGGTACACATATGCCTTCCATGTGTATGAAGGAAAGGACACCCAGCTGCATCCACCCAACTGCCCAGAATATATTGGAACAAGTATGGAAATCATTTGGGACCTTGTATTCCCACTCTTTGAAAAAGGTAATCTCTATGTTAATCTCTACTGGAAGAAAACATTTGCTTTTGGCACCATGTGAGCCAATAGGAAGGTCTTCTCTCAAAGGATGGTAAACACAAAACTAAGTAGAAGCAAGTCGGTGAGTTTGCGGAACCAGGAAATATTGGCTATAAAGTGGAGGAACAAACAAGACATCTACATGCTTTCCTCAATCCACAATGACGCCATCGCAGAGGTGGACTGACAACTCATTGGGCCCCCGGCAATAGGGGATCATGGGGGCCCCTGTGTCCTTGCCCAAACTCAAAAAAAGCCTATGAAAAAGGTACCAGGGGCATCTCATGGGGCCCCCTACTGACCCCGGGCAGTGCCCGAGTTTCCAAATGGTCAGTCCGCCCCTGAACCACCGTTCAAATCCACAGAAGGATTGGCCTAGTCCAGAAGCCCGAATGTGTACATGAGTACAATATGTTCATGGGGGAAGTCAGCTACAATGATCATATGATCCAGCCCTACCTTGAGCAAGAAGAACCTGCCATTGGTACAAGAAAGTCTCCAGTTATCTTTTCAATTTGGCAATATATAATTCTTATGTTATCTACTCTAAATCCCCTGCCTTTGTGTACCAGGAAGGTCCCCCACCAAAAACCACTAGATCAGATGCAGTGAGCAGACTCCATGAATGCTATTTTCCCGATAAAGTCCCTCACAAGGAAAAAGGCCAAATGTGAGATAAAAAAAAATAGGGGGTGTGCTCCAGAGGGGCTGTAAAATGAGACACCACTTATTAGTGTCCAGTGTCCTTCCCAACCAGGCCTATGCATGGAGAATGTTTCCGCCGTTACCATGCTTCTCTACAATATTAGTGAAGTATGAGGAACATAGTTCTGAATTCTTGCCATTTCCCCATATATGACTATTTGCCTTCACACTCATCATGCCTTTGCTTCCTCTTCAACTGACCCTGGGCTATTATTCGACCATGCCTCTGTCTGCTGCCTAAACTGACCAGGCCTCTACCTGCCACCTGAACGGACCCTGCCTTGTTTACCGACGATGCTTCTGCCTGACCCCTAGATTGTTTATCAGCCAAGTTTCTGCTTTCCACCTGAACTGATTTCGGCCTGTTAATATTTCAGCCAGACTATGTAACACGTTTTTGCCTACCTCTTGGACTGATCTTTTGGGATTCAAGATAAAACAGGGGTCTCTCATGTTACATAGATAGTCTGGCTGAAAAAAGACTAAAGTCCATCCAGTTCAACCATACAAAAAAAAAAAAAAGTTATCCTACCCAGTTGATCCAGAGAAAGGCAAAAAACCCAGCAAAGAATGAACCAATTTGCTCCTGCAGGGGAAAAAATTCCTTCCTGATCCCCCGAAAATGTTTGTGAGGGGGCGGCTGAATAGTTTTTCCGAGTGGAGAAAACTAGATGTTTGGTTTTCTCCAGGTTTTGTAATTCTTTGATTAGGGCCTGCAGGCCAGAGGCTTCAAAGAGATTTGGGTGGAAAGAAGCCTCTACCCCTGTGCCCAGGTCCTACCTGACTGAGGCCCTAAGCGAGTCTGATATTTCTGCCAGCTGCCAACTAACCCTCGCTTGCTCATTTATCATACCGCTGCCTAAACTGACCACACCTCTACCTGCTACTTGTACGAACTATGGACTATGTTCCTGCCTCCTGCCAGTACCAATACTTTGGATGCTGTTGACCACATCTCTGTCTGCTGCCTGCACCAATGCTTTGGCTGTGCTGACAATATCTCTGCCTGCTGCCTGTACTAACTATGGACAGTATTGCTGCCTGCTGCCTGGATAGTTCCTTTCGCTGTCCCCGACCATGTCCCTGCCTGGACTTATGCTCTCCTCTGTGGACAACTGCACTGCTAAAACCACAGGTAATCTTTTGTTTACACTTTACTTAGCTGAATGGGGTCATTTTGTGGACATTTCCATGGTCCTGGTGATTCAGGGCCTTCAAAAATGTATAGGCTGTCAGGAAAATAGATGTGTAATTTATGGCCCTAGAACGCCTGAAGGAACTACTTGGATGTTGGGCCCCTTTATGTGGCCAAGCTATGGAAAAGTCTTACATATATGATATTGCTATATTCAGGAGGAGTAGCAGAATGCATTTTGGAGTGTAATTCTTATATGCCATGCTGTGTGTTAAAAATATATCTTAAACATGGACAACTTTTGTGTATTAAAAAAAAGAAGGGGGACATGTTTTCATTTTCTTTCCACAATTTCCAAAAACTTATGGAAAAAAATGACATGTTCAAAAGACTCATTGTGCCTCATAGAATATACAGTGGGGTGTTTTCTTTCCAAAATTGTGTCATTTAGTGGGTGTGTCCTGGTGCTCCAGGCCCTTCAAAAATGTGATAGGTGGTCAGGAAATGAATTGTGCAACTTATGCCTTAGAATACCTAAAGGTGCTACTTGGATGTTGGGCCTCTGTATGTGGTCAGGCTGTGGAAAAGTCTCACACATGCGGCATCCCCATACTCAGGAGAAGTAGCAGCATGTGTTCTGGGGGTAATTGCATGTATTCCTATGCCGTTTGAGAGAAATAAATTAATGTGATATATAACAATAATGTGACAATGCAACAATAATAATAGTTTCTTCATTTTCCAAAGAATTGTAGGAAAAAGTACAACTTCAAATAACTCCCTATGTCTCTTACATAATTTGGCTTGTCAGCATTCCAAAAAGGGGTCATATGGGGTGGTTATTTGTACTGTCCTGGCGGTCAGTCAGTCTATAGGCAATCAGGTGTGATCAATTTTCAATGATATGTAGCATAGCTTGAAGACCAACTTTCACACAGACTAAATAATATACACCGATTTGGGTTAATTTTACTAAAAATATGTAGCAGTATAAATTATGACCTAAATTTGTGAAGAAAAATTACTTATCTGCAAAATTTATCAGAAAAACTAAAAAAAAAAAAAAAAAAAAAGTGTTTTTTCTTCAAAAACTCAGTGGTGATTAAATACCACCAAAAGAAAGCTCTATTTGCATGCAGAAAAAGTTAGTTTGGGTACAGTGTAGCATGACTGAGTAACTGTCATTCAAAGTATGAGAGTATTGAAAACTGAAAATCAGCCTGGTCAGGAAGGGGGTATAAGTGCCCAGTAGGCAAGTAGTCAACTACACTTTAAGCCTCTTCCCCATGTGATCATATTATATTTTAGCTTGGGAACCATACCAAGACAATGGGCCACTAGCATGCGGTCTTACCTGGGCTCCAGTTGCACAGTGATATACAGAATTCTGATGGATTATTCTGAGATGTTTAAGAAGATGATCAGGCCCAAAAGCCCAGCCAACCTGTAACAAAAACAGAATATTTAAACAGGTATATCACATTGATCTGGGAGAGAACCCTGTGAGAATTCCCTTATAATTCACCTACTGAACATGCATTTCAACAACCTGGAAACAGACTAGCAATTAACCAATGACTAGCCTTCATCAATTATAAAAAAAAAAAAAAGATATATATATATATATATATATATATATATATATATATATATATATATATATATATATATATATATATATAAAAAAAAAGGACGCGGGAACAAATTTAGAAAAACCTGATTTATTCACATGAATAATATTACCTCAATTTCTCCAGTATGCACTTTATGGATCTGCTGGCACAGCACTTGAGTTTTTGATTCATTCGGTGCATCACATTGAATTGGCCAACTAACTGGATTAAAAAACGCGTGCAAAAAGCTGAGTTTTATATGTTCCATTGAAGTCTACTGGAAAAAATGAAGTCCTTGACCCTTTCCAAAAAACGCACCTGCAAAACAATGCATAGATGTGAATAGAAAATCATGATAAATGGCATGCACTGCATTCCATTCCATTCCATAAAAAACACACAGGTGTGAACCTGGCCTTAGAATTGATAAGATTTCTTTAAAAAAAAAAAAATATCAGTTCACACAGAGATCTTCCACATTAGGACCATATAGTTTTATTAAAGCGGAACTCAAAACCAAAAATATATATACTGCAGCTTGCCAATCATTAGATGTGGTGACTGCTTCAGTTTTCTTTTCTTTGGCTTTGTTCCTCTGTTTTCACCTGGTGACCTGGCCTGTAACACATCTCCTGTATCAGTGAGACACAACTTTGGATGAATGAGCACAGGAGACATAGCAGACAGCAGCATTGTCAGTCTGGACTATGGAGAGGGGAGGGTAGTGTTAAATGTACTAGCAGATTTAAATACATTAACAAAGTAAAGCCAAACTCCAGCTCACACGTTACAATCACCTACAGCTAACAGTTTTTTTCCTTTTGGGATAAATGTTTTATATGAATAAATAAAAGCTGATCATTGTAATCACCCGTGTCAATAGTAAATGGTTTGTCTCATCCAAGTAAACTGATACATTCTGCTAGAGAGATTGTACTTTTGAAAACCAACTGACTTGCTGGCTGGATCACCAGATGAAAATAGAAGAAAGAAAGCCTAAAAAAAGAAAACACAGGCATCACATCTAAGAATTGGTAAGCTGCAATAGAATAAAATGTTTGCATTTGGGTTTAAAACCACTTTAATTTTTCTGAAAAAAGAAAAAAAAAAATAGCGGTTACCCTGTCTGCTGTCATTTTTGTTTGAATATGTTTTTTGGTCAATAGAGTAAAATTTTATCATTAACCACTTCAGGACTGCTTGCCCGCATTGTATTGTGATGTACTTGTATGTCACAGGTCTCTTCCAGGTACAGAATGTGCACGTGCGCACCTCCCGCCAACTCCCAATGCCAGCTGTTTCAGGTCTTGTAATTCTGATAGCACCTTTGTTATATTTCAGCTTTATCTGTCGGTTATTGGTGATAAACTCAAGCAGGAGATATAACCTAATAAAACCTTTCAACCTAAACACTTCTGCTCTGATAGAGAGAGAATATAAGTAAATAATCAAAAATGAATGATTCCCCGAGCAGTAAAGCTGCATTGTAATAATTTAAGAGGACGTACAGTAGGTTCATATTATCACAAATGCCAGTTTGTAAATGGTTTGCTTTCAAGCCTAAGAGCAGGGGTCTCCAAACATTCTAAACAAAGGGCTGGCTTACTATCTTTCAGACTTTAGGGGGGCCGGAGTGGCCAGTGGAAGTAGAAAATGTCCCAGCGTCAGTGGGAGTGAAAAAAAAAAAATTACATAGTGCTTGTAGTCAGTGGAAGGAGGAATATTATCCAATCACTAATATTAGTCGATGAATAATGCCCCATCATTGGTGTCAGTGGGAGGAATAGTGCCCCATCATTGGTGACAGTGGGAGGATAGTGCCCCATCACTGGTGACAGTGGGAGGAATAGTGCCCCATCATTGGTGTCAGTGGGAGGAATAGTGCCCCATCATTGGTATCAGTGGGAGGAATAGTGTCCCATCACTGGTGTCAGTGGTAGGAATAGTGCCCCATCACTGGTGTCAGTGGAAGGAATAGTGCCCCATCATTGGTATCAGTGAGAGGAATAGTGCCCCATCATTGGTGTCAGTGGGAGGAATAGTGTCCCATCATTGGTATCAGTGGGAGGAATAGTGTCCCATCATTGGTATCAGTGGGAGGAATAGTGTCCCATCATGGTGACAGTGGTAGTGCCCCATCAGTGGTGTCAGTGGGATGAATAGTGCCCCATTGGTGTCAGTGGGATGAATAGTGCCCCATCATGGTGACAGTGGAAGGAATAGTGCCCCATCATTGGTGTCAGTGGGACCCCATGGTGTCAGTGGGATGAATAGTGCCCCATCATTGGTGTCAGTGGGATGAATAGTGCCCCATCATTGGTGTCAGTGGGATGAATAGTGCCCCATCATTGGTGTCAGTGGGATGAATAGTGCCCCATCAATGGTGTTAGTTGATGGATTCTATTAGTGGGAGGAATTGTGCCCCATCATTGGTTTTAATGGAAGGAAAATGCCCCATTGTTGGTGTCAGTGGGAGAAACAGTACCCCAAGGGCCGTATAGAGGCAAGCAAAGGGCCGCATTCAGCCCACGGGCCAAGGTTTGGAGACCACGGCCTAAGAGGTTACCTTCCATCCTGTGGCACTGAAAGTCTTCCCTGCACTTCCAACAGTGATGGTACGTTCCCACATTCCTGGCAGGTTAGCTTTATAGATAAAAGGAAGAAGAAATGTTTTGTGAATATAGAAAAATCAGGCAACATTTCCTGAAAAGTGTATCTTGCACCTGAAAATTTTTTTTTTTTTTTTAAAAGAATATACACTAAGCAATTGCACTTAAAGCTATATTAAACCCAGAACCAAAAATGTTATACAGTATATTGCAACTTACCAGGGATTTTTTCTCAGTGAATAGGTTCAGGAACTCAACCATGTCCCCCCCCTTTTCCCACCAAACCACAACAGATGGTGGGTGTGACCAAACTGCAGTGGGAGGGGTTTGAAGGCATTAAATACTAGGAGTGTGTTACAGAGTGTAGAGTTCAGGGGTGCACTACACATGTGCAGAGTTAAGGAGTGTGGTATGTACAGAGGTCAGATTACAGGAGTGCACTATGTACAGAGTGCAGGGTTCAGTAGTGTGCTGTGTATAGAATGCAGTGTTCAAGAAAACATTACATACAGCCTGCAGGGTTCAGGAGTGCGCTATGTACAGAGGGCAGAATTAAAGGGTGCACTACGTACTGAGTGCAGGGCTCAGGGCGCGCCATGTACAGAGTGCAGGGCGCGCCATGTACAGAGTGCAGGGTTCAGGGGTGTGCCACATACAGAGTGCAGGGTTCAGGGGGGCACTATGTACACTGTGCAGGGTTCAGGGGTGAACTATGTACTGGGTGCAGAATTCAGGGGTGATCATAGAGGGTGCAGCCTACCACATGATGCCCCCTCCCACCAATGTCTACACTGTACTAGCACCTGCACCTTTCTTGTCCACAACGTGAGTGCAGGGCAGGGAGGAATCTGCAGAGCCACTGGGAGAGGCAAGCTGTCCTTGTAAGCACAGAAGCCATTATTCTGTGTTTTCAAGTGACAGTGGTGAATAGGCAGCAGAGGGTGAGAACCAGGAGGTGGTGGAACCGAGTTCCACCACGTTCCTGCTGAAAAAAAAGTCCTGCAGCTTACTAATCAGAAGTGGTTGCTGCATTAGTTTTCTTTTTTTTTGTTAAGCTTTTTTTCCCCTCAGTTTTCACTTGGTGATCTGGCTAGTAACACACCTCTTGTATTAGAGCGCTTCCACTCTGGATGAAGGGGCACAGGGGGGCAATTTTGGATAGCAGCATCGTCAGTCTGGGGGTAGGGGAGTGTTAGATGGACTAGAGGATTTAAATACACTAACAAATTGAAGCAAAGCTCTGGCAAATACCTTATAAGCAGTTATAGCAAACAGTTGTTTTTCCTTTTGGAATAAAGGTTTTATATGAATAAAAGTTGATCATTGTAAGCTCCCCTGACCGTGGTAAATGGTTTGTCTCATCTTGTAAATTATATAATCTGCAGCAGACCTTTGTCTTTTGAAAAACAACAAAACTTACTGGCTGGATCACCAGTGAAAATAGAAGAAAGCAAGCCTACACAAGAAATACATTCACTGACCACTTTATTAGGTACACCTGTTCAATTGCTTGGTAACACAAATTGCTAATCCGCTAAATCACATGGCAGCAACTCAATGCATTTAGGCATCTAGACGTGGTGAAGACGACTTGCTGAAGTTCAAACCGAGCATCAGAATGGGGAAAAAAGGGGATTTAAGTGACTTTGAACATGGCATGGTTGTTGGTGACAGACGAGCTGGTCTGAGTATTTAAAAAACTGCTGATCTACTGGGATTTTCACGCACAACCATCTCTAGGGTTTACCGAGAATGGTCTGAAAGAGAAAATATACAGTGAGCGGCAGTTGTGTGGCTGAAAATGCCTTGTTGTTGTCAGACTGGTTGCTGTAACATTCAGATGGTAGGGTCAGAATTTGGCGTAAACAACATAAAAAGAATGGATCCATCCTGCCTTGTATCAACGGTTGAGGCTGGTGGTGTAATGGTGTGAGGGAGATTTTCTTGGCATAGCAAGGTGTACCTAATAAAGTGGCCGGTGAGTGTATAATGCAGCTATCACATCTAAGAATTGTTAAGCTGCAATATAATAAATATTTGCTTTTTGGTTTAATACTGCCTTAATACTTACCAATTCGAATATGTTGTTGGCCATCATAGACCAGCCATTCATAAACTTCATCAGAGAAGCACAGGATATCATACTTCACACAGATGTTGGCAATTTCTTCCAGCTCCTCCTTACTGAACACCTACACACAACAAAAACACAAACTGTGAATGCAGTAATTGGAATATCATAACTAGACAATGGAAGAAAAAAAAACAAACAAACAAAAACAAACACTGAAAGATCATCAACTCTGTTGAACACTCCGTGTAGCACATGTGAATACAGGAGAGCTTTATTAGCATCCCCATCCAATCTTAAAGCGGAGTTGCACTCACCCTGTCAAAAAAAAATGTTAGCAGATACAGAAACTGTAGCTGCTGACTTTTAAAAAACAGCCACTTACCTGTCCCTTAGTGTGCGCCCTGCAGCCCATTTCACTGGCCGTCCTGTATTCCAGGAGGCCGGTATTTTCAGTGTGGGCACTCGGCTGTGACAGCTTGCGGCTTCACAGCCGGATACCCACTGCGCATGCGCGAGTAGTGCTGCACTTCATGAATGGTCCTGTAGTCTTCTGGGACCTGTCATGTCCCAAAAGACTACAGGGAGGGAGGGAGGACACCTTCCGCTTCCGATCGCCTAGGCCAGGGGTAGGCAACCTGCGGCTCTCCAGCTGTTGCAGGTCTACAAGTTCCATCATGCCTCTGCAAGTCATAGCTGTAACTGTCAGTTTTGTAATGTTGCAGTGCCTCATGGGAAATGTACAGTGGGGCAAAAAAGTATTTAGTCAGCCACCAATTGTGCAAGTTCTCCCACTTAAAAAGATGAGAGAGGCCTGTAATTGGCATCATAGGTAGACTTCAACTATAAGAGACAAAATGAGGAAAAAAATCCAGACAATCACATTGGCTGATTTGGAAAGAATTTATTTGCAAATTACGGTGGAAAATAAGTATTTGGTCACCTACAAACAAGCAAGATTTCTGGCTCTCACAGACCTGTACCTTCTTCTTTAAGAGGCTCCTCTGTCCTGCACTCATTACCTGTATCAATGGCACCTGTTTGAACTTGTTATCAGTATAAAAAACACCTGTCCACAACCTCAAACAGTCACACTCCAAACTCCACTATGGTGAAGACCACAGAGCTGTCGAAGGACACCAGAAACAAAATTGGAGACCTGCACCAGGCTGGGAAGACTGAATCTGCAATAGGCAAGCAACTTGGTGTGAACAAATCAACTGTGGGAGCAATAATTAGAAAATGGAAGACATACAAGACCACTGATAAGCTCCCTCGATCTGGGGCTCCACGCAAGATCTCACCCCGTGGGGTCAAAATGATCACAAGAACGGTGAGCAAAAATCCCAGGACCACACGGGGGGGACCTAGTGAATGACCTGCAGAGAGCTGGGACCAACATAACAAAGGCTACCATCAGTAACACACTACGCCGCCAGGGTCTCAGATCCTGCAGTGCCAGACGTGTCCCCCTGCTTAAGCCGGTACATGTCCGGGCCCATCTGAAGTTTGCTAGAGAGCATATGGATGATCCAGAAGAGGATTGGGAGAATGTCATATGGTCAGATGAAACCAAAATAGAACTGTTTGGTAGAAACACAACTCGTCGTGTTTGGAGGAGAGAGAATGCTGAGTTGCATTCAAAGAACACCATACTTACTGTGAAGCATGGGGGTGGCAACATCATGCTTTGGGGCTGTTTCTCCGCAAAGGGACCAGGACGACTGATCCATGTACAGGACAGAATGAATGGGGCCATGTATCGAGAGATTTTGAGTGCAAACCTCCTTCCATCAGCAAGGGCATTGAGGATGAAACGTGGCTGGGTCTTCCAACATGACAATGATCCCAAACATACCGCCCGGGCAACGAAGGAGTGGCTTCGTAAGAAGCATTTCAAGGTCCTGGAGTGGCCTAGCCTGTCTCCAGATCTCAACCCCATAGAAAACCTTTGGAGGGAGTTGAAAGTCCGTGTTGCCCAGCGACAGCTCCAAAACTTTACTGCTCTAGAGGAGATCTGCATGGAGGAATGGGCCAACATACCAGCAACAGTGTGTGCCAACCTTGTGAAGACTGACAGGAAACGTCTGACCTCTGTCATTGCCAACAAAGGATATATAACAAAGTATTGAGATGAACTTTTCATATTGACCAAATACTTATTTTCCACCATAATTTTCAACTAAATTCTTTCCAAATCAGCCAATGTGATTGTCTGGATTTTTTTTCTCATTTTGTCTCTCATAGTTGAGGTCTACCTATGATGCCAATTACAGGCCTCTCTCATCTTTTTAAGTGGGAGAACTTGCACAATTGGTGGCTGACTAAATACTTTTTTGCCCCATTGTAGTTCCACAACAGCTAGAGAGCCGCAGGTTGCCTACCCCTGGCCTAGGGGATTGGACCGGAAGTGGAAGCAGGTTGCCTGTCAAATTCAGGTACCCGCTCCCCCCCAGCCCCCCAAAGGTGCCAATCCTTAATGGGAAGCAGTCTTTAAAGCGGAACTTCCCCTTTTGGGTGGAGCTCCGCTCGAAGCTTGATACAAACGGATGAAAATTCGACTGGTTCAACAGGGACCAGACGACTTTCGATTTGTGTGTGGCCCACCTTGTCCAGTAGATTGACTTCTGTCGAAAATGCTGGAAAACTTTAAATTTGATCAGCCGCTGCAGCCAATCAGCTGCAGCTCTGATCAGCTTATTTTGACAGGAGTCTTGCTGTCAGAATACAATAGCACAGTAGGGAAAATTCCTTTATTCTGACAGCTGAACAAAAAAATGCGTGCATATCCAACATAAGTGCTGCTGTGCAGGGGATGACAGAAGGCTGATATCAAGACAGAGTCAGGTACTTGTGCTAGCCGTTTGAAAATTAATTTTAAAGGAGCACACAACTGCATGAAATGTTTTTATTTATTTATGCATTTATTTATTATCTGCCTGCAGTTCAGCTTTAAGAAGAAACTTGAGTTACAAACCATTTTTTGCTCACTCACCTTTCCCAGTGGATTATTTGGAGTGTTTAACACAAAAGCCTTGGTGCGTTTTGTGATCTTCGCTTCGAGCTCTGCAGGGTCAAGCCTCCAGTCCCCACTACTGTGTAGCTGTCCTGCATCTGTAGGCTTCAGTATGAAAAGACTTGTATGAGAATGGAAATGGAATGATGGGCCAAACAACAAACCCCTCTCTCCCCCCCCCCCCCCCCCCGGTGCGGTTTGCGGTAGAACATTCGAAACGGACAAAAAATTTGCCATGAACATCGAACCCAATGCAAGTCTGTGGGGCTCGAACTTGCAAATTCAAAAGTGCCAAATTTGAAGGCTTATATGCAGGGTATTGGCCATAAAAGAGGTATGGGGACTCTGGTAATGAATCAGTGAAATTTGTTTTTCAAAAACTACCGATTTTAAAGGAGCAGTAATTTTTCATTGCTTTAAGTAAAAAAAAAAAAAAATGGAAAAAATCCTTTAAATATCATGCCTGGGGGTCCCCTTAAACTACCTGGAAAGTTGCACATCTGTACAATGTATAGAACCTTCTGCAGGACTGACATTTTTCTTTTGTTTTTTACTGGCATGTTGAAAAAGAAAAAAAAAAAAAACGGGCCCCACCCCCCAATCTATACCAGATTTGGTTTTTTTATGTATTTTTTGCTTACCTTTACAAAAATATTATGCTTTATTCATTTTATTTTTTTCAGGGAGTCTTATATAGTGTAAGGTAGATACTGTGTACTGTGAGAGCGCAGTGCATTGTGGGGCGTTTGGCAAGTGAACAGTTGGTGGTGCCTTCACACCGTAACCCTTCAGAGTTCTTTTTGACGAGTGCAGGATTGGACCCTACTCTAAAAATCCTAATTATATGCACCTGTCATACAGGTGCCGAAAAATTAGGCCTTGGTGACAGGACAGGGCATGCATCCTTTATCAGCAGTTGTGGTCAGATGCAATACATTTTGGGGGGGATGGGGCGTGCCCAAGGGCGGACTGACCATTCGGGCACTGCCTGAGGGCCTGGGGTTAGTAGGGGGCCTCATGAGATATCCCTGGTACCTTTCATAGGCTTTTTTGGGTGTGGTTTGAGTGTGGGACACAGGGGCCCCATGATTTTCTATTGCCCAGGGGCCCCTTGAGTTGTCAGTCTGCCCCTGGGCATGCCATTTAGCATCTTTGCCCTGGGCACTAGATGACCTTGTCCCAGCATTGCACAGCATCCATGTTATACAAGCTTCATTCCACCTGTGATGTCAGCGTATACTTGGAAGACACACAATACAAGTCAATAGAATAAATCAGCTTGTTCAATTCAACATGGAGGGATGTGGTGGTTGTCTAAAGCCTTTTATATAGCATGTCTCAGATAGCAAAACTATCCTGATATTGGACAAAGAAAGCCACTTACAGGTCTTAAGGGAATATACACACATTGTCCACCGGCCATTTTCGTCATTGGCTCATAGCAGTCAAATGATGGTTCTATGATAATGACCTATAAAAAATAAAATCCCAATGTAAAAAAGTTATATATCAAACAAACTCTCACTACTACACCCCAAGAAAAAAAATCACACTTTCACCCTTGAAAGCAAATATTCATAAACTTTTTTTTTCTAAATACACTAAACCCCTCTCTCATAAATAACACCCACTTAAATAGTGATAAAAATTAAGAAAAACTCTATAAGTGTCTCACGCAAGTCCAAAATAATTCTCCAAAAAATATGTGTCCAAAAATATCAATATCTTCCAAAGTTCTACAGTGTAATCAACTCAATTCACCAGTCCAGATCCCGTAAACCTCGAAAAAATTAAACTGGATACAGTGTAAAACCTTCAAGTTTTTATCATTAATTAATAAGGGAGAAAAAAAACACTATATAATAAATTAAATATATATAAGTGAGCGACATGTGAAACATGCAAACAAAAATTATTCACTCGGTGTACACTCCTGACGTGGATCTCTCGAGAAGAAGTCGGAAGTGACGAAACGCATCAGAGGCGTGACGTCTGCCGCCAAACCGGAAGGAGCAGCGCAGCCACTTTGAATATTGGAAAACGTGGACTTTACCATATGAACTGCTGGGGACTGGTCTGACGGATATAGCAATCCTAAATGTAAGAAGTTTAATAAATTTTTACTTATACCTCATATTATACAATTGATAGAGCTCCTCTTTACCTCCACGAGGAATTTGGGAAGTTGAAAAGGGTACTAACTGCATGGTGGATGGAAGCTGACAAGTATACATTATATATCCTCAAATGCCTGTTTTTACTGCAAGAGGGTAATTGCTTTGAATCCCACCAGTGTGAGGTCACCTTTTGATGTGTTTATTGGAAACTGACAAGCGAATACTATATACATCCAGAAATGCTCGTTTTGTTTCCAAGAGGGCAATTGCCTTTAATCCCCCTAGTGTGAGGTGTCACAGAGTGTTCACTTCACTTTTGATGTGTTGTATTTTCACTGAGTGATCTTTTGTGTGGATCTATATATTATTTCATAATTATTTTTTTTTCTCACTTATTTAATTAATGATAAAACTAGAAGGTATTACACTATATCCAGTTTCATTTTTTCGAGCTTTATGTGATCTGGACTGGTGAATTGAGTTGAATACACTGTAGAACTTTGGAATATATTGATATTTTTGGACACAAATTTTTTTGGACAATTATTTTGGACTTGTGTGAGACACTTATGAGGTTATAGAGTTTTTCTTAATTTTTATCACTATTTAAGTAGGTGTTATTCATGAGAGAGGGGTTTAGTGTATTTAGAGAAAAGGTTTATGAATGTAAAAAAGTTACAGTAGGTCAATAAATATTAGAAACTCTCAAGCATCCATAGTTATTTACTAATTTTGTGTGGATAGATATAGAGGTTCATTTAAAGTGTATGTCAAGCCACAACTATAGTGGGGAAGGATTTTTTATGGCTATCCAGAGAGATTTCCCCTCACTCACTGTCCTTCTTACAACCTGCATGCCCATTTGTTGAATTGAATTCAATCATAATTTATTTCCACTTTACATTTAGCATGCCACACCAGGGAGTCAGAATTACGACCTTATGTCTGCACAACTGACACCTTGTCCACAACACCACCAACGAAGTTGCTTATAATGAGTTCCAAAAATCAGGTCTTCATGGGAAGTAAATACCAGACACCCAACCAACCACGGAATTAAAACACACAAAGGGGGATTCTGAAACTAAATCCTATAAAATAAGAAAGTCATTGTTGAAATATAGATAGACTGGCTGTAGAATAAAAATATTCAGCTTCTGAAGGTTAAAAAAAAAAAAAAAAAATCTCTATTGGGTGCTTTGGGCAACATCTCTACTTCTCACTAAGCAAACCACATAGTGGACTTGAACACATGGTTTTACACCATACACTTTACCGGCTGTGCCACTACTAGATTTGCTTATTATAACCCCCCCCCCCAAAAAAAAAAAAAAAAAAATTAGAGCCTTATTGAACATAGTTATGGCATGCAATCGCTATATCAAAGTAAACATGCCCCACCTGGGATTAAAACTCATGAGTTAGATGAAGGATGGCTGCAGGATAAGCACGAGTTGAAGGCATAGGGCTGTGGGAGGAGATACAAGGAGTGGCATGGGGGAAATAGAATATAAAGGTGGCTGTATTACCACAAAGCAGGAGGGGAGGTGAAAGCAAATGTGGGAAATGTCACAGTGGATATACAGGAGCTGGCAATAATGGGCAGCAATGACAGCATTTCCCAGGATGTGAGGCTACTTACATAATGCAGGTCATTTGTAGAATTAGCAAGAAAGTTAAAGTATGATGCTTAGCATGCTTCTAGAGGAGTAAATGGAACTTTACCCATAACAACTTGATAAAAAATAATGTTCTTTAGCAAGAAACACACATTCCACATGAATAATGATCTCACCAAAATTAACGTGGGCTGTAAATTGCCTCCAGCATTGTTCTATTTCTTCTTGCTGGGGGCTTCCATTTTGATGAAGCCCAGAGCCCCTGAACAGCAATAAATCTTTAGGCTGTCAGCAAATCTGCCTCTACAAATTTGGCACAATGCCCAACAAATAGAGAGCAACTGAGCATGTGCAGAGCAGGGTGAACAGTGTATTATTGGATTTTAAACAGTATAGGCACTTGTTTTTAATATTTTACATAGCTATACCTACAAAAGAGGCCAGCATGAAGATATCTAGCAGGACTTCATTTTCTGACTATAAGAGTATAAACTAGGCTGCGGTGGCCCTGAGGAGTAGATTTTCCCTCACTCGTGACCATTTTCACATTTCACAGAAGGGAAAAACATAATAGGGAACCCCCCACAAAAAGACGCAGGCAGCTGAAAAAATGTTTAGTTATTTTAACTCTTCCCCACTTTATAAAAAAAACAAAACAACAAAAAAAAAAAGTTTTGGCTATATGTACACTTTAATTCTAAAAGCCATGTCCTTTCAGCATATACGGTATGTATATGAATACAACAAACCAAGAATACAAAAGTCATATTTAAACAGAATTATGCTGAAACCATCCGTAGACCTGGGATTTGCAGAAGAGAAGGAGAAATGATAATACATAGTATGTAGAAGCAGTTATTGTAAAAAATTAATGGCATACAATGCACAATTTATTAAGCAATAAAAAATGCTGCTTGCCATAACGACCCATATTTTTTGGCCCTTTATTAAAAATTGCAATTGCGTCATAGAGACTAATTCTTCAATACATTTGCATAACAGAGATATGGTACTGTAATAAGAGTAGTTTTAGGTGGTTACCTCATCGCCTTCTTCCACCAGAGCATGGAAAGCAGAAAAAAGAGCCCCATATGCTCCGACTGTCACCAGGACATTGGTAAGAGGGTCTAGTTCTCTTTCAAGGAGTTGGCCAAACAGTTTGGCCAGAACCTTCACCAATGGAGGATGCCCCTGCAACAAAACAACAGGACTAGAATATTATAGGAAACATGTTGCCTTGAGTTCGGTGCCTGCTCACCCCAGGCAGTTTTCTCTTTGGTGTCCAGGATCAAGTACATTAGCATTTAACATAAGCATTTAATAATTCTGCATTTAAACCAGTCCAAGATTTTAGGACTTGCAGTTAATGTAAGGTGTTAAAGGAAACAGAGACCTCAATTGTTGACCTCCTCCTGAAAATGTTAGCTGGCTAGCTCACATGGTAATCCTATGGCTCCAATATTGGGTCCCTGACCCAGAACAATTATGTGGACCAGGAAAGCCATAAAGAAAGTATAACTGCTTATCTGTACATTTGTTCTGGTCCGGAGAGGAGGTATTAAAGGAGCTGACACGGCCGAAATTCAAGGCAAAGCTTAAAGTTGTGCGGTACAATATAAAAATGAGTTGCTTGCTTATATAAATGTTTATGTACCATAACTGTACCTATAGAAGCTGCTTTCACAGTCACATGACCATCTTATGGCTTTCCCTAGCTGGAGTGAGTGCGGGAGGAAGAGGTCACTTCGAGTGATGTCACTCATTGCTCCACAGCAGCCTGAAGCTGTAGGGCAAGGTGAAAACACTCACCTATTGCAGTGTAAGGCAACGGGTGAGCAGGGTCACCATGAAAACAGAAATACTAGTCATGCAAATTTAACAAAGTATGCTTGTTTAATAAAGACAAAGAAAAAAATCAAATTACTAAATATATATTCGGGTCTGATGGTCTACCTGTAGCAATATATACACAATTAGCTTTAAGACGTTGAAAATAAATTGTAATGTAGAAAATTTAATTAAAGATCTACAAGATACTATATGTGAATGTTTTTGAAATAAATACACATCTAGCAACTTATATTTAGCAAATATCTATACACAGCCAGACATTTGAGTGGTAACAGAAATTAGGAATCCCATTTACTGATTTTCAGATGTTCATTGTTGTCCCAAGAAATATCCAACATCATCATACACTAATGACCAACAGCAATTGTCTACATGAGATTTGGGATATTCCTGGTAACAACATTTTGAGCCCTACAGGTCTAGTACCTATAGACATAAGTTGACTGTTGACCATCTTGGATGATTTCAGGTCAGATCATACAGAGATCATTATGTCTTTAGGCAGCAGTGAAAACCACTGGCTGAGCTTTCAGTACTGTCAGGACCGGACTTTCCAACCATTCGCTATTATAACGTTCCGGACATAGAGATCATGACATGGATTCAACACAAGGTGTGCCAGCTCTCTGTTCTCTCTTACAGAGGAATAAATGTCTTTCGTTGTCCATGTCATAGAACATATTTACATTTTAAAAGGCCATCCCCGGGCAAATGGTTTTTTTTGGCATCTTAAACCTTCCCTCACCCCTCTTAAAAATCTCTTAGTTACTTTTATAAGCTCCTGTAGGATAGAAAATATTCTGCAATCATCACACAGCTTCAAGATCTCAGTTTCAAGTCACATATGTGTGCCCCAAAGAGCTACTGGGGCTTTAAAGCTGAAAAAATTCAGGAATTTGGCCAATTTGTAAAATTATGAGTCAAGTCCAATGAGCTGCAAGACATCTCTTATTACATTGACGGGTTTATTTCTCTGCCGGAGACAAATCATGGGATCTGAGAAAGGAGAATCACGCAGAGCAGATATGCCCGCCCCTCCCCTCTGCTGCCCATTCACAGAAGCGTTTGTATTTCATAAATGTGTTCAGATAATACCAAGGTTTTTTATGATGGGGCAAGAAGAGGAAGGGGCAGGCATAGCAGCTACAGTGAGTCTCTTTTTCAAGATGCAAAGCCCAGAAGGATCAGTATCAGGCTCCTGGAAATACAGCGATAGCGGTCTTCCAGGAGTGTTTTAAAGCTGTCAGATATAATCTAAGCCCATGAGGTGGCATGCACCTCTCAGGACTTAATTCATTTTTTAGAAAGGAGCTAAATTCCTAGAATTTAGCTTTATGGGGACCCATTCTCTAAACAGGAATGCTGCCATGACAGGCAGCATTTCCTAATAACTGGGGAAGAGAGGAGCTAGTGTGGTATCTTAAATAGAAGTTTAAAAAATAAAACAAATGCTGAAGGGGATTGACTCAAAAAAAAAAAAAAAAAATCAGCAATATAAACAGGGTGAGGACATTCTGCTACAGTATGTCTGTAAATGTTTGTTGAATATATAGGGTACAAATACAGACTAGTACTGTTTCCAAGTGCGCAATATCTTGAATATTTTTGCAAACGATGTAGATGTGCACTGTGCTGCATGTCTTCTGCAGTTCTAAAAAAAAAAAAAAAAAAAAAAAACATTCCTTATGTAACCTATATATTTGAAGTAGGACTATAGGCTAAACTTTTCCCCCCCCATTTTGGATAGAGTAAGGAAGGGTTATAAACCAGTAGTTTATTTTTTGCCATCTGCATCCCATTGGGGAGAATTAACTTCACTTCCTGTCCCATAGCCAAAACAGAAAACAAGAGGAACTCCCTGCAAATTGAATAAATTGAAGAAATCCATTGGGGCCCGCCAGGTCACCAAAACCAATATCGCCATTGGAAGATTTCCCCTCTATTACTTTTTTGGGGACAACCCAAAATTTGGGATTTTCTTTTACGTTCAATAACAATGGTTAACAGGACAAAAAGAGAGGGCCAATCGCCCTAACGGAGTCATAGACAGCAGCAGCAATTGAGAGGCGTCCTAATCCCTCTCCACTCTATCCATAACAAAAAAAAAAAAAAAAAAAGTGTTTGCCTTTAGTTGTACTTTAAACTTACTGTTTTAGTTATTTTAAGTGTTTATACACATTCATGTTGAATTTTGATTTTTAGAATGTTTGCCTCCACATACATCAACTCATTATATATTCCCAAGGCATACCTGTTGGCACTAAATCTACCAAGTCTGCTATGCAAATCCAGTTTTACCAGGCTAAACTCCTGTAGTCAGGAGAATGGTCATCTTCCAAGGGGTTACAAGTTAGTGGGTTAATTGTCCATCCATCCCATATCTTATGCTGTTTATCCTTGAATTTATCTCTCATAGGCAAGCCTTTTAAAAAGGGAGTAGCGAGTTGATTTCTGATATTCACATACTAAATATGGGTTGTAAAGCTGCAGCATATGTTTAGCTATTTATTTACAGGCTGGCTACATTATTTCTTGTATAAAGGGTTGATCATAGTGATTTGAGCTAAAGTGGAACTATAGACAAAACTTTTTTTTCCCACTTGGGATAGAACAAGGGAGGGTTATAACCCTGTCAGATTTTTTTTCGCCATATGTGTCTCATTGTGGAGGAGATTTCCCTTCACTTCCTGTCCTATAGCCAAACAGAAAGTGAGAGGAAATCCCTGCAAATTAAGAAAATTCCTTGCTGACCAGAACCAGTGTCCCCATTGGAAGGTTTCCCCTCTATTACCTTTCTGGGGACAACCCACTATTTGGGATTTTCATTTACTTTCAATGACAATGGTAAACAGGTCAAAAAGAGAGGGTGAATTTCCCTAAAGGGGACACAGACAGCCATACTTGATAGGTGTTCTAATCCTGCTCAACTCTGTCTAAAATGAAAAAAAGACTTTAGTTAAACTTTAAAGATTAAAATGATTCTAAAAGGCAAGAGTTTTTTTTTTTTAATCTTAATGCATTCTATGAAGGTAAAAAAAAAAAACCCTTCATGCAACTCCTCCCAGCCCCTCCTAAATATATACATGAGCCTGATCTTGATCGAGCAATGTGCACGAGAGCAATGGCTCTCTCAGCTCTTGCTGGCCTCATTGGACAGAGAGGCAGCAACAGGAGCCAATGAGATGGGATCCAGAAGCTGGTGGCAATCACTGTAATAGTGGAGTCTACTCCAGCGATTTCCAGCTTCCATATATATTGGCCAGGTATGGCACATACTAACTTACATTGTGCCAAGCTGCCATACCATGGAAACCTCTCACAAAGGAAGAACAGCAGTTGGCATTACTGAGCTCTTCTGAGAATGTTAGTTTCCTGTCTTTCCATGATGGCTGACATGATTTAATACTATACAGCAGTGGTCTCCAAACTTTCTAGACAAAGTCCTTTAGACTTTAGAGGGGGCAGGACTTTTGCCAATGGGAGTAGAAAAAGGTCCAGATGTCAGTGGGGAAAAAAATGCCTCATCTTTGGTGTTAGCAGGAGGAATTGTGCCACACTGTTGGTGTCAGTGAGAGGAATTGTGCCCCATCATTGGTGTCATTGGCAAGAAATTGTGCCCCATTATTGGTCAGTAGGGGGAATTATGCCCCATTAATGCATCAGAGGATGAAATAGTGCCCCAAGGGCCAGATAAAAGCAAAGGGCCGCATCTGGCCCTTGGGCCACAGTTTGGAGACCACTGCTGTAGAGTAACTGAAAAATCGTGTAGAAAAGGAGAACTTCTGACCTTCCTCTGACTTTTCTGATTTTTCCAGGTCAGTAGCTTATAAAAGTAGCATAACAGCCACTAGCAGTTTTAGAAGTCCACAATACCAAGTCTCATATGTCTCATAACTGATATTGACCTAAGAGTCAGGAAAGATGGTGTGTTTGGTGAAGGCAGTGAAGCAGCATACTTACAAAGGCTCTGGTGTACTTGGTTCAGCAAGGTGTGCTCCTCAGTGATAGCTTTTGCAAAGGCTTCTCTTAAAAAACTTGGAGGACTGAAATCTGGAAAGCCTTGTCCCAGGTTCACAGTTTTATACTGAGCAGCAAGACTGACAAACTCCACCCTGTAAGAAAAATGGAGAATCACATCAATAATTCACCTGGACCTGTCTATAACCTGTCAGTGGCGCAAACTCTTCCCAAAATCTGAACATCCTTGCAAAAATGTTCTATAGTAGATAAACAATCTAGATTTTACTGTACACCCCAGAATCTTAAATGGTTGTCACTACTAAACAGGGCCAGGAGGCAGTCAGGCGCGGGCCAGGAGGAGGTCAGGCGCAGGCCAGAGGACAGCATCTCAAATTAATTCTGAAAATAATGTGGAAAATGAATGTGCCTGGCTGTACAGGACTATAGGTGGACCCCAAACTCAGCAAGTCCTAAGGTGGTAGTGCTACAGTGATTTTTTTTTTTTTTTTTTTTTTTAAATAAAAATGTGTTATACTTTACCCCCCTACAGGGGTACCACTACACTTACTTCCTCTGTGTAATGAAATTGAACAGAAAGGTCCCTTACCTCCTCTTTTGGAAGCCTCCACCAGGGCTCTCTGCTCCTCCATACTTTGGGGGCCTCCTGTAACAAGCTTGGTGCTCCTGAACCAGCCTGTGTGTGTCCATAGAAACACACAGTGCCAGTAAGCCCCGCCCCCTCCTCACAGGAGATTGACTTACAATAGCAGTTCTTCCTGTGAAAGCAGAAAGTGAGGGGAGCAGTGCTGGAACCAGAGAGTGTGCTGGAGAGGTGACATGGAGCTTGGTAAGTTCAAGACAAGTAGTGGGGCATTTTTTCACCTTAATGCAGAGAATGCATGAAGGTAAAAAAAATTTAAAAAAAAAGTTTAGATTTTAGTAGATTAGATACTTTAAGTAATCAAATGTATTTTTTTTTGCATAAAACTAGTACCTGCATCTGTGATATTATCAGCAATCTACATTGAGCACTGCTATCCTTCCAACACTGGGAGCTTTGTGAGAAGAGGACAGAGCAGAGTGATCACCGCAGCAATGCTATACTGCTCTTTCACTTTCCAATATTCCAATGTATGTCATTTCAACACTATACCTATCGCTTTGCCTGGATAAACTAAAGCAACAAAGCAGACAGATCATGTTCTTTTCATGGCTTTAAATACAAAATCATTATGTATCATTTGGACTCATGCACACAGATTCTTCAAAACACTAAGTTTTCAGGCATTTTTTTTTTTTTTTTTTTTTTAAACGGACCTAAATGCAGCCCATTTTCAATAGGCCTGTACACACAGACTTGTAAATGAATGTCATTGTATAGATCAGGAAATGTTTTTATATATATGTATATATTTATGCATTTTTTTATTTTTTTTTAACCACTTCCCGACCGACCGTTGCATATAAACGGCCGGACGTGGCAGTGCAGAGTCGGGTGGCCGTTTATAAACGGCCTCCCCACACCCTGCTTGTGCGCGCTCCCTCGGAGCGCGCAGCACCGCGATCCGGTGCCCGCTGTGTCCTCCGGACACAGTGAAACACCGATCATCGGACGGGACCTCTGTACGAGGTCCCGATCATGTGATCAGTGATTGGCCAATCAGTGATCACATGCAAAGTAGTAAGCAAGATGTCACTTGTGACATCATTGCTTACTACGTGTGAAATCTGTGAATGATCACAGAGGTCACATGGTACAAGCCTATTCACAACAGCCTTGTACCATGTGACAAGCTGTGACCAATCACAGCTCACACAGTACTTCACAATGAGTGCAAGAATGCACACAGAGAGAAAGAGAAATGATTGCTTTTACATCCTATATGGGTGTAAAAGCAATCAGTGTAAAAAAAAAAAAATCTTCATCACCCCCCACAAGTAGTACAGTGTCACCATGGTGACACTGTACTGCTAGGGTGACAGTATGTAAAAAAATAAAAAAATAAAAATGTAAAAAAAATGTTTAAAAATTATAATTTTTGGTTATAAACTAATTTGGATTTTTTTTTACTAAAAAGATAACGGAATAAATTTTGGCAAAGATTTATGATGAAATATTATTTATTTGCAAAATTGTATAAAAAAACACTTCTTTTTAAAAAATTTTGGACTTTTTCATTTGCATAGCAAAAAAAATAATAAAAATCTCAGCGGTGAATAAATACCACCAAAATAAAGCTTTATCTGTCTCAAAAAAATGGTAAAAAATTCATTTGGGTACAGTGTTGCATGACCGCGCAATTATCATTCAAAGTATGATAGCGCTGAAAGCTGAAAATTGCCCTGGTCAGGAAGGGGGTAAAAGTGTCCGGTCTGGAAGTGGTTAACATGCAGATCTTAGCCACATGCACAAAGATGTACTCCTGACCCTTGCCTTTCAGAACCAGATCCTGATTGGCCCCCTTGATGCTCAAAGAACACAAATTCATACTCACCAAATGTTTTCATCCACTCCCTCCAGCCTCCGGGCTTGAATCCGCTTTGCCATTCTGTCCTGTATCTGGGCAGTAAAAGCATAGAGTGGTGAATAAGAGCTCACAATCCCTCTTACCCCCAAGCTGGAGAACAAGAACTGGCCCCTCCACCTTCTCTGAGCAGCACCACGTAAGGAAAGCACACATTGGACTTTGTTTCTAATTAGTGTAAAAAAATGTGTATGCATTCTGACAGCAAAGAGGAGGTGTATTATGGCTGCAGTAGACCGTGTTGTTTGTGTGTCTGCTTGAATGGGTGCCATCCACATGCAAAACACAAGTCCGGTATTTTGAAATAAAGACCAAATGTGACTGGATCTTCTAATCCAGAGGCCAAAGATCAAAGTAACGGGGTTAATTAATAACAAAGCAGACTATGGCTGGTTAGAAAAAACTCAGTGACAAGAAGCATGAAGATCTAGAACATAACTCTGAGTTAACTAATTCGACAAAGCAGTACACATGTTGGGAGAATAGTAAATCTCTTAGCCATGTACTTTATAAATCTACAGTGTTGCTTTAACACACGTATGTAAAGAGCACTAAATGTAGTAACACACGGCCAACCAAATAAAAGTTTTTCCATAATTTCTAGACATGTGCACACCGGAAATATTTGTTTCGTTTCGGAAGCATTTGTTCATTGAAGAATTTTGTTTCATATTCATTATGTTGAACCAATTTGTTTTCGGAATTACTTTTGTACATTCGTTGGTCCGGGTGGATTCGAAAAATGTTTCAGTTTTTCCCGGAAGATTGCTATATAAATCGATATATTACCGAATCAGATGCATTCAAATTGGAAAAAATTCTATATTTTCAGATGTTAGTCCGACCCACCAAGAGAAATGGCATGATTGGACAATATCGACTGGTGTCATGTGCATCCGAATTAACGAATAGAACGAAATTCAGATCCATTACTGATCTGAAGGCGAGTTATTAAATGAATTTTATAATTGAATTCATTTCCCCATGTGCCCGAACTACTACCACATCATGTGGTGTCATCTGAATGAAACTAATACATTCGTTAATTTCATTATAATTTTTTTTTTCGGATTCGGATTCATTGACATTACCAAGTCTATTCAGAGATTCATATACATCTGAATCTCTGAAAATTTTTCTTTTTTTGTTCGAAAAACGAATCGTAATGAAAACGCACATGTCTAATAATTTCACAATTCCTTGTCAACCAGCAAAACCAACTAAAAAAATAAATAAATAAATAAAGTATCCTATCCTCATCCCCAAAGATGTAAACTTACTTGAGTGTCAAAGCTCTGGCCTACTACAATCTTCACATCTCATGGATAAACTCTTACTTTCCACTGACCACAGCTGTGCACTAGATCCCTATAGACTTCTATGAGGCTGGCTTCTGATACAGGAAAGCCCAAGGCACAGACAGCGGCAAGATTTCAGCAGTCAGATATGGAGATGGGGAATGTCCAGACCGCTTAGGATTGGTCCAGCACAGGTGACAGCTTCCTGGTGGGCTGGCTCAGGTGAGTTTGGACTAGGATCAGAACATCCTCCAGCTCATCCCTAACCAATCTGACTTTGGTGATTTTTCCTTAATGCAAATATTCATCATCTCTATCAACTTACTTTTGTTCAACTGAGCCCTTCCATCATGGTTAATTTGCACTCTTCGATTGCATCTCAGGCATAAAATAATAGTTAAAGTGAACCATTCAGGGCCGAGTAGCAGGTTCACCTTGTCATGAGAAATTTTGCAAAAAAACAGGCATAGCTACAAATAAGGGAGGAGAAATACTTTACCTTTGCACTGGAGCCCATGCCACTATTTAATAGAAATCCTCTTCCGAAACCAATTCCCTTGTTGTCTCCATAAGATTTCTACTGAATGAAGTAGCATTCTGATGCCTTGGGCTGTGGAAAAGGGAAGTATCCCTTCTCCTATTTTGTACGTTACGGGAACAGCTTACTTCACAACAGGTCTCTTTATGCAAAGAATATGTTACCCCATCAGATCAGTGTACTGCTGCTTCTCCACCCCCCAGCTCTCCAATCCAAATTCCTTTATGCAGCTGAGAACACAGAGATTATGTGATTACTTATAATGAATTTAAAAAAAGTATATATATATATATATATATATATTTTTATTTTACACACACTATATTGCGCAAAGTATTGGGATGCCTGTTTCTACACGCACATGAACTTTAATGACATATATATATATATATATATATATATATATATATATATATATATATACCAAATCAGTGCAAATAATAACCTAACAATTAAAGATGTTGCGAGCTGAACACTTACAGTGGGGATCGAAAGTTTGGGCACCCCAGCTAAAAATTTGTATTAATGTGCATAAAGAAGCCAAGGAAAGATGGAAAAATCTCCAAAAGGCATCAAATTAGATTAGACATTCTTATAATATGTCAACAAAAGTTAGATTTTATTTCCATCATTTACACTTTCAAAATAACAGAAAACATAAAAATGGCGTCTGCAAAAGTTTGGGCAGCCTGCAGAATTTATAGCATGCACTGCCTCCTTGGCAAAGCTGAGACCTGCCAGTGTCATGGATTGTTCTCAATCATCGTCTGGGAAGACCAGGTGATGTCAATCTCAAAGGTTTTAAATGCCCAGACTCATCTGACCTTGCCCCAACAATCAGCACCATGGGTTCTTCTAAGTAGTTGTCTAGAAAACTGAAACTGAAAATAGTTGACGCTCACAAAGCTGGAGAAGGCTATAAGAAGATAGCAAAGCGTTTTCAGATGTCAATATCCTCTGTTCGGAATGTAATTAAGAAATGACATACGTCATCAGGAACAGTGGAAGTTAAAGCAAGATGTGGAAGACCAAGAAAAATATCAGACAGAACAGCTCGCAGGATTGTGAGAAAAACAATTCAAAACCCACGTTTGACTGCACGATCCCTCCAGAAAGATCTGGCAGACACTGGAGTTGTGGTACACTATTCCACTATAAAGAGATACTTGTACAAATATGGTCTTCATGGAAGAGTCATCAGAAGAAAACCTCTTCTACGTCCTCACCACAAACATCATCGTTTGAACTTTGCAAATGAACATATAGACAAGCCTGATGCAGTTTGGAAACAAGTTCTGTGGACCGATGAGGTTAAAATTGAACTTTTTTGGCCGGAATGAGCAAAGGTACGTTTGGAGAAGAAGGGGCACAGAATTTAATGAAAAGAACCTCTGTCCAACTGTTAAGCATGGGGTTGGATCAATCATGCTTTGGGGTTGTGTTGCAGCCAGTGGCACAGGGAACATCTCACGAGTAGAAGGAAAAATGGATTCAATAAAATTTCAGCAAATTTTGGATGGTAACTTGATGCCATCTGTGAAAAAGCTGAAGTTAAAAAGAAGATGGCTTCTACAAATGGATAATGATCCTAAACACACCTCGAAATCCACGGGGGATTACATCAAGAGGCGTAAACTGAAGGTTTTGCCATGGCCTTCACAATCTCCTGACCTCAACATAATTGAAAATCTATGGATAGACCTTAAAAGAGCAGTGCGTGACAGACAGCCCAGAAATCTCAAAGAACTGGAAGACTTTTGAAGAAGAAGAATAGGCAAAGATACCTCAGACAAGAATTGAAAGACTCTTGGCTGGCTACAAAAAGCATTTACAAGCTGTGATACTTGCCAAAGGGGGCAGTACAAGATATTAACTCTGCAGGGTGCCCAAAACTTTTGCAGATGCCATTTTTTTGTTTTCTGTTATTTTGAAAGTGTAAATGATGGAAATAAAATCTAACTTTTGTTGACATATTATAAGAATGTCTAATCTGTAATTTGATGCCTTTTGGAGATTTTTCCATCTTTCCTTGGCTTCTTTATGCACATTAACACAAATTTTTAGCTGGGGTGCCCAAACTTTCGATCCCCACTGTAAGTAGATTTTGCAATACTCCAAACAGCATAGAAAAAAAAATGGAGCAACGCAAACAACTAGATAACTTACGCAGTCCAAAAAAGTCCACATAAAGAATCCACCAAGACGAATGGAGCCAATGTTCAAATTGTGAGTAAGAAGCGTGGCATGCATATACTTCCAGATGTAAATGGTGTTCACTCCCCGCCACCAAACAAAAACAAGTTGCTGCTCACCTCAAGGGAATGACCCCTGATTTAACAGATAGGTCATATCTCGCATTTCCCTACTGGGGTGTCGATAGACTGGGCGTTCTGTCAATCACCGATGATGTATCCTCACATTAATCCAAATGCATCCAAAAGATCAAGATGAGGCAAATAGTGCTGTTTGCGAACTTTAATCTTTAAAAGGAATATATGAATATGAAATTTTTGAGGTAGTTTAGCTCACTGGTGCCCCGGTATAGCTAGTAGTACAGCAGGAGTGTTTTACCTTTTTATATTCCTCTGCTCTCTCCATGGCAGTGGTAGAGCTTTAATAATGGTGAGGGTGGCGGTGTGGCTCCATTCCCACTGATGAAGTCCAGCCCAGGACGTAACATGTATGAGGGGGGAGGAGCCACGCCTTCTGACGTCAATCGTGGCTATCTTTGATGCATCTATTGTCAAAATGAGTGCTTGTTTATGCACTTTTTGGAAAGTGCCGGATTTGTAAGTGTGATTTTATCCTTTTAAAGATCAATGTTAGTCAACAGAGAGCACGATTTGTCTCCTCTAGATCTTTCTATTTTTTCCTTTCTCCTATTTCTTTGTCTGCTGTGTTGTCCTAGAAAAACATTCACAGCAAGTGAAACCTGCATGTGTTGTGTAGTGCATCTCTCCATCCCACGCCATCATAGTTAGTCTGGCTGCTGAAAAAAGACAAAGTCCATCCAGTCCAACCATTAAAAAAAAAAAAAAAAAAAAAAAGTTATAATCCTACACCCACAGTTGATCCAGAGGAAGGCCAAAAAAAAACCCCCAGCAAAGCAAGATCCACTTTGCTCCTGCAGGGAAAACAAATTCTTCCTGATCCCCCGAGAGGCAATCGGATATTCCCTGGATCAACTTTACCTATAAATGTTAGTATCCAGTTATATTCTGTGTATCTAAGAAAGAATCCATGCCTTTTTTAAAGCAATCCACTTAGCTGGCCAGAACCAACTCTTGAGGGAGTCTATTCCACATTTTCATAGCTCTTACTGGGAAGAAACCTTTCCGTGTTTGGAGATTACATTTCTTTTCCACCAGACGTAAAGAGTGCCCCCTTGTCCTCTGTGATGACCTCAGGGTAAATAGCTCTACACCGAGTTCACTATATGAACCACTGATGTATTTATACATGTTGATCATATCCCCCCTTAATCTCCTCTTCTCAAGAGAGAATAAATTCAGTTCCTCTAATCTTTCCTCATAGCTGAGCTCCTCCATGCCTCGTATCAGTTTGGCTGCCCTTCTCTGTACTTTCTCCAGTTCCCCAATGTTCTTTTTGTGAATTGGTGCCCAAAACTGAACTGCATATTCCAGATGAGGTGTTACTAATGATTTGTACCGGGGTAAAATGATATCTCTTTCTGGAGTCTATACCTCGTTTAATACAAGAGAGGATTTTGCTCGCCTTAGAAGTGGCAGCTTGGCATTGCATGCCATTATTAAGCTTGTGATCTACCAGAACCCCCAGATCCTTCTCTACCATTGATTCCCCCAGTTGTACCCCTGGTATGTATGTAACATTCATATTCTTAGCTCCCAAGTGCAGAACCTTACATTTATCAACATTAAACCTCATTTGCCACATAGTTGCCCAATTAAACAGTACATTGAGGTCATCATGTTTACTTGATCTGTCATCAGGGGTCGGATGTCTCTTCCTGGTTCCTGCAGCTGGCCCCTGATGACATGCCACAGTTTATGCACAGTATGGATGGGAAATGACTGGTGCGTGCACACTGTGGCCGAGATTGCCCGAAGCCTCCTGGGATGCATGTTAGTATTCCAAGAGGCTTCTAGTGGGAAAGATATCATCTTACCATTAAAGAATTAAAAATTAATATCCGATTATATAACTGAAGGGGGAATATAAAAAGTACTTTGGAAACTGCTAGTGAGCCCTGAAGCAAGCACGTCATTGAGGACATTAGCAAAAAAAACCGGGGTTCCATGGAGGGGGTTGGGTTACATGAAGGTGCAAAGAAGGGCGTTACCAGCAAAGCTGTCGCCAGTGTCCAATCACCTGAAGGTAGCAGCATATAATCCAGGGTCTATGCCCGTGTAAAATAGACCATTTAGTGGCTAAAGAAAATAAAGAGAGAAAAAAGGACTATCTTGCAAACAAATCAACATCTAGGCCTCTATGGTGGCCATACACGCTTCAATTTTTATTTGATCAATGCGCGATTCAATCAAAAATGATTGCACTGGCAAACAATCAAATGGGCATAATTTATTCTCCCTGCCAGTCAATTTGGATATGATTTTGATCAAATTCGCTCAAACTGAGTCAATCAATCGTGTTGCACTGAACAGCAACACAGATGCTGTGATCATGAAGTTGATGTATTTCGATCATGTGTATGGCCACCATTAGACACACAACAGTTGGAGAACATTTTAGCAGCCAGTTGACAGGGGTAATACAGTAGAGACTATTAAGGCTATAACAACAACGATGAGGTCACAGCTACTTACATGAACGCAGCTGGCAGTGGCGCTGGTGTTAGACGATTGTCTGTGTGCAATCACCAAGTATTCAGCCCCTCTGCTCCTCATCCTGGCCATCAATGGCAGCATGATGATGAAAAGCTAAAGATACACAATTGTGTATATTCGGCTGTGAATGGCTGCATGACTTTTACAAGAAACTATACACTTTTATTTTTACAGACTTTTTGTAGACATATGCATCAAGTATCAACATGTCAGTTTAAAGTGAAACTAAATAATTTGCAAAATGTTTATAAAAAAAAAAAATTTGAAAAATGAAAAATTGCCAACAGGCAGCCTCATTATTGCAATGTCTCTTCTGCAATAAAATACACATACCTGCCTGTTAACAATTCCCTGCAGAATTTACACGGACCTGTGCATGCGCGGCTCAGTTTTCGTTCCAGCACATGGGCCTGTGTGCTGGGATGACGGCACTACTGCGCATGCACAGGAGTGACGTCATCCTGCTCTGGCCTAGCAAGATGGCTGAAGACCGGCACCCAGAAAGTGCTGGAAAGGGACTTCATGGGCATCAGACCTCTGGAACAAATAGTTTTTTTTGCCTTTAGTTCTGCTTTAAAGTGTATCTATACACAAAACTTTTTTTTTAGTTCTGGATAAAGTGGGGAGAGGCTATAACCCGTCAGGTTTCACTGCTATCCAGGGCTCCGTTAGACTAGGTTCACACTTGAAAGGCGGGTAGCAGGGCGCGTCGGTGGAGGATGCTGTGGAAGTATGGCAGCTGATGATGGATGGTGTGTAGGGAAACTGGTACTGAGCAGCACTTCTAAAGAGTGGAGACAAACTGTGCAGAAGAAAGTGAAACAGTAAGGTGCTTCTAAGTGCAGTATTCCATGTCAACTTTAACCACTAGCCTACTGGGCACTTACACCCCCCTTCCTGCCCAGGCCAATTTCCAGCTTTCAGCGCTGTCACACTTTGAATGACAATTGCACTGTCATGCAACATTGTACCCATCTGAAATTTTTATCATTTTTTTTTGAGTCAGATAGAGCTTTCTTTTGGTGGTATTTAATCACCTCTGGGATTTTTATTTTTTCTTAAACCAAAAACCACTGAAAATTTTGAAAAAAAACCCATTTTTTTCTTAGTTTTTGTTATACAATTTTGTAAATAAGTGATCACTTCACTAATGTGTGCTAATAAGGCTGCAGTGATGGGCACTGATGGACACTGATAGGTGGCACTGATAGGCATTGACAGGCATCACTGATGGGCACTGAAAGGCGGCACTGATTGGCACTGATAGGCGACACTGACTGGCACTGATGGGTGACATTGAAAGGCAGCTCAGATGGGCACTGATATGTAGCATTGATGTGCACTGGTATACACTGATATGTGGCATTGATGTGGCACTGGCACTGGCACGTGGCACTGGCACTGATGAGCACTGACAGGTGGCACTTCTGGGGCCACACTGATCATCAGGGCACACTGATCATCAGTGCCCTGATGATCAGTGCACATGTACCCTCCGCGGAAAGCCGATTACCGGCTCTCCTCTCCTCTCAAGCTGTCAGCGTGACAGCTCGAGAGGAGAGAAAATGCCGATAACCGGCATTTCCCTGTTTACATGTGATCAGCTGTGATTGGACACAGCTGATTACATGACCGAGCCGACATCTTCAGCCCTTTCAGCGATCCCTCGGACACAGTGGACCGGTGATCGCCGCGCTTGCCGCTCCCTGAGCCACGCATGCGCAGTGAGAATGGTAGGACGTCATATGACGTCCTATCAGAACGAGAGAACCACCTTGCGCCCGTCATTGTACTATAGGACGGGCGGAAGGTGGTTAATAAAAAGCGGTTAAAAACACTTACAATGTGGTAGTAAAAACAGGCTCTAATGTAATCCGTCAGTAGCAGGGCTCTGTCCTCTAAGCAATGGAGCCATTGTGCCAGCCAGCAGCTGCAGGAGGAGCTTGAGGAGAGGTGTTAAAGATGGCCGCCGCTCTGTTCGGACCGCTTGAACGCACGCTGTCTGCAGACCGGAAGTGACGTGAGCATGGAGCGGTGATGTGTTTTGGGGCATGAGCAGAGCTCCTTCTTCAAGACCCTTGAAGGGTCCATCGCTTAGAGGACAGAGCCCTGCTACTGACGGATTACATTAGAGCCTGTTTTTACTACCACATTGTAAGTGTTTTTAACCGCTTTTTATTAAAGTTGACCTGGAATACTGCACTTAGAAGCCTTCCTGTTTCACCTTCCTAGGTTCAGCTATGCTTGCGTGGACATGTCAGCCCCTTCATTCGAAAGGGCTGCAGTGCCTTTTAAAAACGCAGGTAAAAAAGGTTCCTGCGCCATTTTTGAAAACACTGCCCACACAAAAAACTGCAAGTGCGGTTGCCGATGCGGGAAGTCATGCTGCCATGTCCAGGATTAATGACAGCCCAGGCATCTCCTCAGCAGCAGCTGTGTGGGTGGTTGTGGCTGAGGGGACAGGTGTGTGAACCTAGCCTGAGGAGAGATTTCTCTTCACTTCCTGTTCTGGGGACAACTTTTACCTGACAGGAAGCGAGGGAAAACCTGCATCAGGGAAACAGACATCCTGACACAGGTTCTAGCATACCTTTACCTAAAGCTGAACTCCAGGATCAGCAAATATTTAAGGAACTAAAAACACAAAGTCACGTGTGTTCTTCCTGGAATCTTGGTGTGCGTTTGTGTATTTCTTCCAGATCAGTACCAGTGCAAGGCCTCATGTACACACAAACTCACCTAGTCGTTAAACTCGCCTAGCAGCAGAAAAATGCTAAATGTGGCAAGTTTAGGGGCAGTTAAATGTTCCTCTTCTGAACACAGAATATTCGCGTTCAGGACAGGAACGTTTTGGCTAAAAAAAAACGCTAAAAGCGGCAAAAACGCAGCTAAATGCTAGCATGTACATGTGAACTCACCTAGCCAAACTCTCCTGGCAGCAGAAAAATGCTAAACGCGGCAAGTTTAGGGGCAGTTAAATGTTCTTCTTCTGAACTCAGAATAATCACGTTCAGGAGAGGAACGTTTTTGCCATAAAAAAAAAAACGGTAAACGTGGCAAAAACGCAGCTAAATGCTAGCATGTACATGTGAACTCACCTAGTAGCAGAAAATGCTAAAAGTGGCAAGTTTAGGGACAGTTAAATGTTCCTCTTCTGAACGACGAATAATCGTGTCCAGGAGAGGAACGTTTTGGCTAAAAAAACGCTAAACGCGGCAAAAATGCAGCTAAATGCTAGCATGTACATGTGAACTCACCTAGTCAAACTCTCCTGGCAGCAGAAAAATGCTAAAAGCGGCAAGTTTAGGGACAGTTAAATGTTCCTCTTCTGAACGATGAATAATCGTGTTCAGGAGAGGAATGTTTTGGCTAAAAAAAACGCTAAACGCTAGCATGTACATGTGAACTCACCTAGTCATTAAAATTCTATTGGCAGCAGAAAAATGCTAAACGCAGCAAGTTTAGGAGCACTTAAATGTTCCTGTTCTGAACGCACGATAATCGTGTTCAGGAGAGGAAATTTTGACCAAAAAGCCAGTAAACGTGCCAAAAACACAGCTAAACACTAGCATGTACATGTGAACTCTCCTGGCAGCAGAAAAATGCTAAATGCGGCAAAAAAGCGTGTAAACGCTGTATCGCATTTATCTGCGTTTATCCATGTCAATGGAAAGTACTCTGCCCAATCAAATGAATAAACATCCAAGCGCTAACTGCAGGTAAATGCGGTACCATGTTTTCACGCATTTTTGCCACATTTAACATTTTTCTGCTGCCAGAAGTTTAACGACCAGGTGAGTTCACATGTACATACTAGCGTTTAGCGTTTTTTGCCAAAAACGTTCTTATCCTGAATGCGATTATTCTGCATTCTAAAGAGGAACATTTAACTGCCCCTAAACTGCAGTAGAAGCCTATGTGTACATGGACACATAGGTTTTTACTGAGTTGAGTTCAGTGGCTGTTGCAAAAAAACGCCAGTAGCACATAAAATGACATTTAGGAGCAGCAGTGTACATGAGGCCTAAAGCTTTCCATTATAAAGACCGGTCACTGCTGCTCAAACTCCTTGTGCAGGGTGACTGGTCTTGTCTCCGCCCCTTCCTGTATTTTTGTGCAGGCAGCCTGTAGTGGGTGGGGCTATGGGTCCCTCCCACAGCTCTATTCTCTGAAAAAACTATGTACAGCACAGTGATGATGTCTCTCCTACTTTGACTAAGTAATAACTGGGTTTGCAAAGGCATTTGACGCATACAAAGTGGACTAATCTACTTTGCAGTTTAACATTTACGTTTTGGCTATAGATACCCTTTAACGTGAGCTTATTTAATCACCAGGCAATATATTAAATGTACACTTTCTTGAAGAACCCTAGGAGCCACCGTCATGCAACATTTCCGGGTGTGTCAGGTAGTGTGTGCATTGCTGTGCCGTGATTCCTTTGGCTACATTACTACAAGACATAGGAGCCACAGCTCACAGCAGGTGGCGTGCTATCAGCTACGCCTTGAAGGACAGCAGCACCTGGTTTTTTTTTTTTTTTAACATACCGCCCTGTGATGCATACTAGCACATTATGCCTTTGCCTTGCAGGGGATTTTTTTTTTAAATGGACATGGTTTACTACTGCTTTAAGGATAGCCATACATGTATAGATTTCTCCCATTCAACCTGCAGACTGAACAAGAGAAATCAACTAGATCCCTCCATCCACGCTAAACAGAATGGATGAAAAAAAATCTTCCATGACGGCTATTGTATTTTGACAGTTGGCACCCACAGCTGTCAGAATACCCGAACAGCGGCTGCATCTGATCGGATGCAGTCACTGTTTGGCTGACAATTTTCCTTCAACAAAAAATAATTGGAAAATCAATTTTTGTCGAGCCTGGTGGTGCAAAAAGGGCCATCCACAGCTCAAATATTAGCAGGAATATTCTAACATTTGAGCTGTGGTATGGCAGCGTTACTTTTTTTTTTTGGATATTTAAGCCAATGTTGCTTACCCACTAAAATGTGGATGGGCCCTACAACTTGTTCTTTGTAGTTTCATGGAAGGCTTCATGATCTTACCAAGTTGCATTTAAATTGCTATATGGTCAGATTAAATATAAACAGTCGATATCAGACTTGAGTGATCTAAAAGAAATTAAAGGGCCAAGTCACCCAAAATGAATATTTCAATTTTTGGTGGATGCTATAGAGTGAAAATGTCTAGCAGTCTCTTATCTGAAACATGTAAAGGGTGGGCAGGAACACCCAACACCCCCAAGGCACCAGAACAGAGTTGGGAATCATGGCAGCCAGATCTCACAGTTGAGCAGCCAAGAGAGGCTCCCCCTGTAAATCAAATAGGTAGAGTAGCCCTTTAATATATACAGTAATTATTATACAGTATTTATATAGTCTGTGAATCAGCTCTGACACCGGAGGGAGACCTTTCCTAGTAAGCAGCTGATAATTTCAATGGAAACATGGCAGAAGCTACTGGTAAACCTTCACTTCACAAACAAACCCCCGACACCTCATACAGGCAGGATTTGTAATGCAGAAGAGACATACTATGTCTAACGTTACTTACCTGCCTGTCCACCCCTGTACAGTATGCTGGGCATGCGCAGCTCATTGTAGAAATTCGACCATGTTGAGCTGACTGAACACATGCGCAGGAGTGACATCATCTTGGCCCGGCCAATGAAAGCAGCAGGTGATTGATACCCAGAAAGATACGCCCAAAGATGTCAGCGGCTGGTGGGGAGCTCCAGGACTCTGCAATGCTGAACTGAAGGCGAGTATAGTTCTGCTTTAACCTCCCTAGTGGTCTGATTATGTCCATATTTCTGTGCTCAAAGCGGTACATTTTTTTGCATGGAAATATGTATTTTATTTATTGTAGGCCTGTAATTATTAGGAATAACTCACTGAAATCTGTCCGAACAAGAGTCTAGTAAACATCCCGGGTATGGTAAAATTTGAAACACAAAATCATAAATTATAATTGAATAAATAATCATAAAAAAAATAATAATAAAATTCAATAATATAATCAAACCAAAAACACTGAAATTTGAAATATAGCGCCAAGTTCGCACATCGCTGAGCTCAGTCGCAGAATTGTTTTCAGTGTCTGATGAGGAATTTCCCCCACGAATCATTATCACTCAATTCTGCAAGTGGTTCTGATTTACGATCGCTGTTCTCTAGCCGGTCTAAAACCGCTTTTGACCTAAAGGGACACTTTTTGGACGCCATGGACATTTCTCAGTTTCCAGGCAGAAAGAACAGTACAAATGCAGGCAGGGCACAGGACAAAGCACTCGGGACACAATGTATGTGAAATGGTTTGATACAGTAATGTTATACTATGTGATTTTAGTAAATGTCACTTTTTGTCATTTTCAAATTTCCCGCCGTTCCGTCCCCCGTACGTCCCAACGCTTGCAGGGGACGGAACCCAGAAGACAGATGCCGGCATCCGCCGGATTACATTGCCGGGGACACTGCAGGAGGGACATCGCGGGAGCGCAGGACAAGGTAAGTGAAGAACAGATGCCGGAGCAGCGCCGCATGGCAAGCCTGAGTGTACCTCGGGGTTACCGCTTTTGGTACTGAAACTTTACCCCGAGCTACACTCGGAATACCGCCAGGGAGGCTACAGGGATTGTAAAGGATTTTTTTATTTTTTTAAATTACAAACATGTCTAAACTTGCCTGCTCTGTGCAACAGAATTACACAGAGTGGCCCCGATCCTTCTTTTTCTCGGGTTCCCTACCGCCGATTGGTCACAGTGATGACATGGTACCGGTAAACAGATCAGTCATCTGCTGTGTCCGGCGGACACAGTGGGTGACAGATCCTACCGAAGTATGGCCCACCAAGCCCACAAGATGCGCTTTCTGGGGAGGACATCATATGACATCCTCCCAGAATAATAGGGTTCCTGCTCTGCTGTCATTTTACAATGGCCCAGGAGGGAAGCTGTTAAAGACTGACTGAGCCAGGTGGAAAAAATTGGCAAAACAGTGCCTGTAGCCTATCAGACGCAGTCATTATTCAGCAGTACCAGTGGATTTAGACAGCTGTGGGTGCCGAATACAATAGCAGGACTTGGAAATTCCTCCATCCATACTGTATAGCTGGCTATAGTAGATGCACTAGTAGATCTGTGAACAAATGTTTCAGTAGAACATTCCATGACTTGATGAATGCCCTTTAAAAAGCACCTCTTGGCTCTTCCCCTTTTAGTGGTGCCCCCAGTAAGAAGCCGATTCCCATGGGGGCACTCGAGCGGGCTTGCTCCCGAGTCCCACTGCTGCATCCATTGACACAGAAGGACTCGGCCCCTTCATCACTAGAGATGATTGACAGGAGCGGAAGCCAATGGCTCCTGCTGCCATCGATCTGCCCAGTGAGGAGGTACGAAGATAGGATAGCTGCTGCTCTCATGCGCAGTGCTGGATCGCAATGGGGCTCATCTACGTAAAAATTGGGAGGGAGATTCTTTTGCACAGAAGGTTTTTTTACCTTAATGCATAGAATGCATTAAGGTAAAAAAAAAATCTTGAGACTGTATAACCACTTTAAAGTAGCCAAGAATTATTTATTTCATTCAGTCTTGCAGGTTGAAGAAGAGAAGTCAATTGATCCCTGCCAGCTATTCGATTCAGACATCCACAGCACCTACGGCTGTCTGCATACCCAAACACTGACCACATTAGATAGGACGCAGTCGCTGCTCCGCTGACAATCTTCCATCCAGCATATTTGATTTTTCCATCAACTTTTGTTGAGACTATGCATGGCTGAAATTTAGAACAATGAAGCTGGATTCGAGCCGTGTGGCATCATTACTCTACAATGTATAATATCTTTTATTTTTGCGGATTAAGCGCCTATCTATACATTCAGTAGCCTTCTGAAGAGTGATGTGGTGGATCACTTTTCAGAGAGTATTTAACAGGCAGTGAGCAACATGTCTCCAGCTCACCACCTGTTTCAACCCAAAAACCCCCACACCACTGCATTGTATCCAATTGTGGTGCAGACCCATTCACTTGAATAGGTCATGTTCAGCAAGTGTACTACTCCCCTAACACGACAGGTGACCAAAGCACGTATGCACCCCAACTGCTGCCTTTGCAGCTTAAGGGGTCACCGATGGGCAAAGTAGTAAAAATGTGGCTTAACTGCATGTTTTTACTTCCCCACAACCGCAAGTGTAATGGAGTCCAAAAGAAGCTGCACATACATCTGTAAATTGCATTATTAAGGATTTTTAGAACTGTAGCTTTTTTTTTTTTTTCCTGTCTGCTAAACCTTTAACCATAGACATACACTGACACCATGTTGGACCCAAGGATTGAGCAATGCATAAAAACAAAATTGGAGTAGTTGCCCGTTGTTACCACCCAGGTTCATATTTTATTCTCTGTGTATGTTAAACACAGAGAGGGGAATTTTCTAAAACTGGAGCAGCTGGGCCTGATAACCAATCAGCTTCAAGCTTTCATTTTCAGCCCTGGTTCACACTGCTGAGGTGCAGAATTCGCACCTTATTCATGAGAACCGCTGTGGGCGTGTATTTTAAGTTAACAACATCATGAAATCAGTTTGCAGAATCGAATCGCAGGGGTGTTAAAAAAAAAAAAAAAAAAAAAAAAGAAGGAGGATCCTGCACTATTTTGATGCGGTGCGATTTGAGCCATACAAAATGTAAGGCTTAAGTTGCACCGCACAGAAATTGCATGTGATTTGCGCAGGTATGCAGTGCGGTTCCTGTGCGAATCACATGCGATGTGCCGCACTACATCAATGTAAACCAGGGCTCGAAGCTTAAGGCTAGGTTCAAATCTGGGCAGGTGGTGCCGCCGCTGCGGATCCGTGCAGCCGCACCACCCACACAGAGGAATGCAGACCCGCGGGCGGGTTCCAATAGTTCTAATGACACGCCGCCTACACTAGAAATCGCAACTGTACTGGGAACCGAAGTTCCCGTGCGGGCTGCGTTTTCCGATGAAGTGTAGGGACTTCTTCCCTGTGTGTCCCGGGGCACGGGAGTCCATTCAAATGAAGGGGCTCTCGTACCCGCGCAAAACACGGCCAGCACGGCTGCAGATATGTGAACCGGGGGTAACAGAAGAAGCTGAAGATAGAAGCGGATTGGCTGCCATGCACAACTGCTCTGAATTCTGTCTACTCCAATTTTAGGAAATTCCTTTGCAGAATCTGCTTGATCATTGCAGCAAAACTGCCATGGTTTCCTTTTTTCTCCAACTTTTAAACAACTAATTACATAGACTCTATACAGCATTTTAGGATAAAATGGAGCAGAGAATTTTACACTTCACCTACCTCGCTCAGGTCTTCTCATGAAGAATGTCTGCACATCTAAGCCCAATTAACAAGACAACACCCTTAATTACTATTCCTCAGCCCACTGCTGTGTGCGCAACTATAGCCATGCTCATAAAAGAGAGATTACAGGATTAAACCCCTTCTTCCAAATACACAGCAAAGAAATGGAAAGGCATCATAGAAAATATTGGGCTCAGATGGTTTTTCAGCAACATTGTTCACAAAGTTAACCTGTAGGTGGGAAAATATGAGAACTGCCATTGCTAAGTTCTTAAAGTGAACCTGTAGGTGGGTAATATGAACCTGTAGGTGGGAAAATATGAGAACTGCCATTGCCAAGTTCTTAAAGTGAACCTGTAGGTGGGTAATATGAACCTGTAGGTGGGAAAATATGAGAACTGCCATTGCCAAGTTCTTAAAGTGAACCTGTAGGTGGGAAAATATGAGAACTGCCATTGCTAAGTTCTTAAAGTGAACCTGTAGGTGGGAAAATATGAGAACTGCCACTGCTAAGTTCTTAAAGTGAACCTGTCAATTTTGCCTTATTAGGTTAGGTTCACACCTATGCAGTTTGCGTTTGATCCGTTTCTGCAGCGCTTTTTGTTGTGCATTTTACATATGCGTTTTGATCCGGTTTGCGGTTTTAATTTATTTATTTTTTGTTGTTGCTAGACAGATTAAAACTCAAAATACATAAAAAAGGCATCAAAAGTGCAGCAAAAACACACTGCACACTTTTCTACAGCATCTCCATTGAAGTCTATAGAATCAAAAATGCAACTTTTTTTGCATTTAAAAAAGTCCCTGACCCTTTCCAAAAAACACACAAATGCGGTGAACCTGTAGGAAATCATGTTAAATGGACTGTATTGCGTTTCTGGAAAACGCTTAGGTGTGAACCTAGACTTAGAGCACACTGTCTTGTTCTTTGGCTCCTCCACCCCCCCTCCCTTTTTTTTCTTTTTTTCTTTTAAAGTGAAGGTGTTAATTTTACCGATTCAGAACAAAGCTTTTGGTTCTTTAGATAGCTGCTTTTCCCTAAGCCCCGCTCATACCAGAGCGTATGCACAGCACAACGCTCAAGATGATAAATCCAAATATTCTTAATGAGCTGTTCATACCTGAGCCCTGCATTGCTTGCCACCTGTTGCATGGAGCTCTAAAGAGTACATTTATGCAAGCCATAGACAGGTCGAACATCGGCTGATTTTTCGAACGATAAATGAAAGATCGGTCGTTCGTTCAGCCGAAGTTACCACCAACGATTAAAAAAATCGTCCGACTAAATCATAAAGTTCACCCCATAACTTCTGTCCCTTGCAGGTCACAGCTCATGCGCAGATTTTTTTATCGTTAAAACGATCGTCCGATTTGGTCATCATTGCTGGGAAAATTGGCCGATCGTCCAAATCGGCTGCAAATTTCCCAACATAACCGATAATCGGAAAGTGCAAAATACATGAAAAACGGCCCACGAACTAATCCACTAACGGTACAAAAAATCGGACGATTTTTGTTTCGGTCGAAAAATCGGACGATTAACGACCCATCTATGGCCTGCATTAGCTTCTATGCAGCATAATTGCATGTTTTTAACCCTATAGACTTTAAAGTGTTCCTAAACCCCAGACCCTGCATTCACTATACAGTATCTGGTCTCCCCGGACCCTGCATTCACTATACAGTATCTGGTCTCCCCGGACCCTGCATTCACTATACAGTATCTGGTGTCCCCGGACCCTGCATTCACTATACAGTATCTGGTCTCCCCGGACCCTGCATTCACTATACAGTATCTGGTGTCCCCGGACCCTGCACTCACTATACAGTATCTGGTCTCCCCCCGGACCCTGCACTCACTATACAGTATCTGGTCTCCCCGGACCCTGCATTCACTATACAGTATCTGGTCTTCCCGGACCCTGCATTCACTATACAGTATCTGGTGTCCCCGGACCCTGCATTCACTATACAGTATCTGGTCTCCCTGGACCCTGCATTCACTATACAGTATCTGGTCTCCCCGGACCCTGCATTCACTATACAGTATCTGGTGTCCCCGGACCCTGCATTCACTATACAGTATCTGGTCTCCCCGGACCCTGCATTCACTGTACAGTATCTGGTGTCCCCGGACCCTGCATTCACTATACAGTATCTGGTGTCCCCGGACCCTGCACTCACTATACAGTATCTGGTCTCCCCGGACCCTGCACTCACTATAGCTGGTCTCCCCGGACCCTGCACTCACTATAGCTGGTCTCCCTGCACTCACTATAGCTGGTCTCCCCGGACCCTGCACTCACTATAGCTGGTCTCCCCGGACCCTGCACTCACTATATAGGAGCTGGTCTCCCCGGACCCTGCACTCACTATAGCTGGTCTCCCCGGACCCTGCATTCACTATAGCTGGTCTCCCCGGACCCTGCATTCACTATAGCTGGTCTCCCTGGACCCTGCATTCACTTTATCCGGTCTCCCCGGACGCTGCATTCACTTTATCCGCTCTCCCCGGACGCTGCATTCACTTTATCCGCTCTCCCCGGACTCTGCATTCACTTTATCCGCTCTCCTCGGACTCTGCATTCACTTTATCCGCTCTCCCCCGGACTCTGACTCTGCATTCACTTTATCCGCTCTCCCCGGACCCTGCATTCACTATAGCTGGTCTCCCAGGACGCTGCATTCACTATTTCCAGTCTCCCCTGACCCTGCATTCACTATATCCGCTCTCCCCGGACCCTGCATTCACTATATCCGCTCTTTCCGGACCCTGCATTCACTATATCCGCTCTCCCCGGACCCTGCATTCACTATATCCGCTCTCCCCGGACCCTGCATTCACTATATCCGCTCTCCCCGGACCCTGCATTCACTATATCCGCTCTCCCCGGACCCTGCATTCACTCTATCCGCTCTCCCCGGACCCTGCATTCACTCTATCCGCTCTCCCCGGACCCTGCATTCACTCTATCCGCTCTCCCCGGACCCTGCATTCACTCTATCCGCTCTCCCCGGACCCTGCATTCACTCTATCCGCTCTCCCCGGACCCTGCATTCACTCTGTCTGGTCTTCCACAGTACACAGAACATGGAAATTAAATGTCTTATCAGGAGAAAAGAGGGGGGCACTGGAAGAAGGGAAGGATCAGAGAATTCAGGATCAAACAGCCTTTTTACACAATGCAGAGCATTAACCCCTTAGGTTCCACAGTTAGTATAACAAGCATGCTTTACTACATATACAGACTGATTTTACTGTTGTGGGTTTAGTAACACTTTAAATTTGATAAGTCAAATAAGACTCTACGTGTTTCAGAGCAAACATTACGTTTTCCCAGCCAACCTGAGAGGTGAGCATTGTACATTCATGTGATATTAATCACCGATCTACTGACACTTTCAAAAGGTGCCCCAGTTCCATTGTACGTTGTGTTTTCCATTTCTGTTGTGGGTTTAGTAACACTTTAATGAAAGACGCTTACAAATACTCGGGTTTATGTACATCTTACAGGCATTCCCATTTTCCAATTTAAAAGTATTTGGGGCCAAAAAACACACAATTCTGCTCCTGTACTACAATTCTCTAAATCACTTGGCTCGTTTACACTAAAGGATCTATTTATAAACAAACCTTTCCATATTTACAACAAAAATTGCTGTGATTTCTCCATTATTTGTAGCTCCTATGTGGTCAGTGCCACCTATTGGCCATAAGCTGTTTTTTTTTCCTGATTGGGGTATTTATGGGGAAAAAAAGACATTAAGGCTATTAGATGGTGCTGATGATACATGAACTGCATATATTTGATTAAATCAGTGAGTTTTATTCTAAATGTGGAAATGTTTGTCACATTCACAAAATAAATGTATTTACCTAGACACCTAAGTGTGAATGATTTATTGCCTCCTCCCTGCTCCCCTGTCACCCTGGTGGCCAGATGAAGCCCTGAGTACTGTATAAGCATTCTGTTTTTGAGGAACAGAGCCAACATGGGGTTTTGGACTCCTTTCTCCCGAATGATGGATCTTTGAATCTGCTGTTTGTATGATCAGACATGATTATTACAATATAGGAGGAAAGGGAGAAAATCCGGTTCCCTCATACCAGGGAGTACCGGGTAATCACTGACGCTTTGGCAGGTGTAAGGATCAGCCGGGTAGGGGAATGATGGAAATAAACATTAGTGGAAAGCAAAAAAAAGGGCTATCAGACCCACATTGAAGAAAAATATATTTTAAAAATATTTTTCCCAAATATAGTGACATATATTTGAAATGCTACAATTCTGGCCATATTCAATATATATCAAAATATATGTCTATATATATATATATATATATATATATATATATATACACACACACATACACACACTGCATGTTGAAATGCGATTTTTATATATTACAAAATATATGAAAAATAACTTTAAAAATATATTTTTTAAACATGTTCTTCAGATTTTTTTAACATATAAAAAAGTCATTTTAACATATTTTTACATATATTTGCAAATGCACTCCAAAAATGTAGTTTTGTATTTTTAAAGATATACAGTATATTTGAAATTTATTTTTAAAATTTTTTTCATATATTTTGTAATAAAAACGCATTTCAACATGCAGTGTGTGTGTGTGTGTATATATATATATATATATATATACACATATACATACACACACATAATTGAAATATATTTTGAAATATACTGAATATGGCCAAAATTGTAGAATTTCAAATATATGTCAATATATTTGGGAAGAGTATTTTAAAAATATATTTTAAATATGTTTTTCTTCCATATGGGGAGGGCTGTTACTTTTTATCAAGTTGTTATGGGTATAGTTTTTCTTTAAAACAGAACTACAGGGGTTAACACACTTACATTTCCAACAGCCCCTCGCCAGCGCCAGCATCTTCTCCTATGTGCCGGTCTTTGGCCATCTTCATTGGCCGGCACGGGATGACGTCATTCCAGTACAAAGAGGCCAGCTCAGCAAATGCCCCTAGCTGCCTGCTTGCTGTCTTCTCTAGTGCTGCAAATTGAGCTTTGCATGCACAGCTCAGCTTACAGTGCCGAGCTGGCCTCTTTGTATTGGAATGACGTCATCCCGTGCCGGCAAATGAAGATGGCCAAAGACCGGCATATAGGAGAAGATGCTGGCGAGGGACTGTTGGAAAGGTAAGTGTTAACCCCTGTAGTTCTGCTTTAAAGCGGAACTATACCCATATCAACTTGATAAAAAGTAATAGCCCATAGATGGATCAATAACCGCCTGGCCCCTGCTGAAGCGGCCGAATTCCACTCCATCTACGGTGAGCTTATAGCAGAACCAAAGTTCCGCTGTAACAGTGAGCAAGCAGACATGTAAAGTCTTTTCTGCAATCAAATTATTAGGCTCTGCTTTATGCTGGTCATAGATGGAGTGAAATTCAGCTGCTTCAGCACAGACCGGACGAATTTTGATCCATCTATGCTCGTTTCTGCTCCAGAGAAGTCAATCTAATGATCGGTTTCTCTGGAACGGGACTGTTGGGAAATTTTCACTTGAACAGCACATGCAGCCAATTGGCCGTAGCGCTTATCAGTGGATTCTCACAGCGCAGGATTCCTCTATCCACCTTGCTTGAGTGGAGTTCGACCACTTCAGCAGGGACCAGACGAATTTTGATCCATTTGTAGTTGTTCCTGCTCCAGAGAAGTCGATCTACTGATCGACTTCTCTGGAACAGGACTGTTGGAAAATGTTCACTCGATCAGCACATGCAGCCAATTGGCCGCAGTGCTTATCAGTATTTTCTGACAGCACAAGATTCTTCTATCCACCTAGCTTGTGTAATTTGGCCGCTTCAGCAGGGACCAGACAAATTTTGATCCATCTATGTGCATTCCTGCTCCAGAGAAGTTGATCTAATGATCGGCTTCTCTGGAATGGGACTGTTGGTAAACTTTCACTAGATCAGCACATGCAGTCAATTGGCCGCAGCGCTTATTAGTGTATTCTGACAGCGCAGGATTCCTCTATCCACCTCGCTTGTGTGGATGGGAGAACCCATTTGTTTTTTTTTCTATCAGATGGCTGGCTTTAAAAAAAAAAATATCCATCCATGGCCAGCCTAAAACTGATCAGAAAAAAAAACATCTACACATGCAAGGTGGATGGAGGAATCCTCTGCTGTCAGAATACAGTGATCAGCACTGCAGCAGCTGATCAAATGAAAGTTTTCCAACAGTCCCGTTGGCCAAAAGTCGATTGTTAGATCGACTTCTGTCGAGCGGGAATGGCCATGGATGGATCAAAATTCACCTGTTTCCTGTTGACCCAGCCAAATTTCAATCCATCTATGGGCAACTGAACTTTTCTGTCTAGAACTGTAACTTCGTAAAGTGCTGTGCACACTGTTGGCAGTATATAAATCCTGTATAATAATAATAGCAGCCACACACATCACATTTGCAGAACGAGAAGTCACCATTTGTCTTTACTGACCTTTCATATATTGAGAGTGTTTAGAAAAGTACACGATTGTCTGCTAGGATTCTCTGGCACTTACACTGGAAATGGAAGGAGTAATGTCATGCGATGTGTAATCATTGCTTCCCTCCCCAAACACAATTTTGAGCTCCTGGCTTTCCATACCTCAGTCCTGTGATCGGTCCCCGCTGAGGTCTAAGAAGGAAACAGAAAGTGAAGGAGATGTCCTTAGTATGACGTACAGATCAGAGCCAGAGCAGCCATCTTCCTGGATACGCCAATCACATTGGGTTCTGGGTGTTGGCTACAACAACATGGCTCCTTTCTCAGGGACAACAAAAAGACACATTTTGTTCTTTTGGTGTTTAAAGACCTAAACATGACATATTCTTCTTCTTCTTATTATTATTATTATTATACAGGATTTATATAGCGCCAACAGTTTGCTCAGCGCTTTACAATATAAAGGGAGACAATACAGCAACAATACAGTTCAATACAAGAAGGATGGGATATTTTGTGTCCCTGACATGCAATGACTTAACACTTGAACTGCCTAATATTACTGCTGGACTATTCAGAAAAGTAACATTCCTGATTAACCACTTGCCTACCAGGGCAATTCTTTTCATTTTTTGCACACATATTACAATCTCCATTTTTTGCTCAAAAATTACTGTAAAACCCTCCAAAAAGTGTATATTTTCTGAAAGCAGAGACCCTGGAGAATAAAATGGTGGTAGTTGCAATTTTTTATGTCACACAATATTTGCGCAGTTATTTTCCAGATGCAAATTTTCCAGGAAAAAAAATACACTAAAATTAATTTAAAGTAGAACTTTTGGCAAAACTTTTTTTTCATTTTGAATAGAGTAAGGGAAGGTTACAACCCGTCAGCTTTTTTTTTTTTAGACATCTGTGCCCCATTGCAGAGATTTCCCTGCACTTCCTGTCTGACAGCCAAACAGGAAGTGAAAGGAAATCCCTTCAAATTAGGAGAATTCCGTGGGGACCCCCAAGTCACCAGAACTAGTGTCCCCATTGGAAGATATCCCTTCTCTTACTTTTTTGGGGACAACCCAAAACTTTGGATTTATTTAATTACAGGTACTTATATAGCACGGTCAGTTTACGCAGTGCTGTGCATACATATATTGTACTTTCACATCAGTCCCTAACCCTCAAGGGGCGTACAATCTAAGGTCCCTAACTCACATTCATACATACACATACTAGGGCCAATTTAGATAGGAGCCAATTCACCTACCAGCTTGTCTTTGGAGTGTGGAGGAAACCGGAGTATCCGCAGGAAACCCACGCAGGCACAGAGAGAGCACATGGTGTCATGGTTGGGATTTGAACCAGCAACCCTTGCACTACATAGTTGTTGGTAGATCTAAGGCTAGGTTCACACCGTTTTGCAGTGCGTTTTGCGTTTTTGCACATGCATTTTTGACACGTTTTGCTGGGTTTTTTCTATTGTTGCTAGGCAGATTTAAAATGCAAAACATATCAAAAATGCAGCAAAAACACACTACATGCTTTTCTGTAGCATTTCCTTTAAGTCTATAGAACTAAAAATGCAACTTTTTGCATTTAAAAAAGTCCCTGACCCTTTCCAAAAACGCACCATGTGAAAATGTGGAGATGTAAACCCGCCCCCGAGGAAAATCATGTTAAATGGACTGTATTGCGTTTCTGCAAAATGCTGCAGAAAACACTTAGGCGTGAACCTAGGGTAGAGGAGATTGTGCAACCATATTGTAACGTGTATGATGAGCTTTAGATCCACCAACAACTCTATAGTGCAAGGTTCTGCCTGACTGGCTGTAGCCCTTAGAGGATGTCTTTTGATGACGAAACATGTTGGGTAGAGTCTCCCTCTGATGTTATTGCGCTGTCGGCCATCTTGGATATGGTTCATGCTTTAAATTGTTCTACAGCTTGTAAGTAGGATCCTATTTGCGCAAATAAAGAAATTTGTGATACATATTGCACTATGAGAGACATGGTTTTTCTTTTCATGACCTAGTATGGCACTACTCTTTGAGTTTTCATTTGAGTTGGAGTCCGGGAAGTTCCATGTTTTGGGGCATGATATGGGAAGCCTGCCAGTGGTCTCCATTTCTGGTAAGCCTCCATTCGTTACTTTGGTGATGGTGTGCATCGATTTGTGTAATTTTCTTCTCATACTTATGGACTATGGTTTATGTCTAAATGGACTTTTTGTTATTGTTTTTTTTTGTTTTTTGAAATTTCTGTACTAACCTGTATGTATATTTGAGGTGAATTTTTTGCACATTGAGATTTGACCTATCCTCAACCTCGATCACTCTTCAGAGGTGTGAGGGTCTTCATAGGGCTCATAAATAATGCATGCTATTTTAGGTTAATTTGACCACATATCACAGTTCCTTACACATATTTATGATTACTGTACTCACTCAGTTTATTCAATCAATTTTTTTAAAATTGTGATCGACCTTCAGAGGGATGAGGGTCTTCATAGGGCATATGTATGCACTTATTTAGTTTAACTATTATAGAGTTTTATTTTCAATTTTTTATCGTTTTTCAGTGGTGTGAAGGTCTCAATAGTGCTCATAAAGTTTTAAGGGTTCACCTAGTGTAGTATCCATTCGAACCTGCCTGATTGTATACAGATTGTTTGGATAGTTTAGGTAGGTCCTCATATTACATATATTCAGTAACTCAAAAGTTGATTGGACAAAGATTATACGATCAGATTGCAACATGTATGGGGACCCTAAGGCTACATTCACACGGGCGATGGGGTGTGGATCAGTTGCTGTGATTAGAGGTGGCTAAACTCTGTGCTATTGCCACATACAAACCTGTGGTCAGTTTCTTTGCAGAGACGCCAGCCGTGGTTTCACACCGTCTGCATCCAGGGTCAGTCAGAAGATCTATTCACATGTAATCGCTCAGATGAGGAGGTGACACGTGAATAACACATGTGACATGTAAGTACACATCTGACAGCTACAATGTGTGCTTGCAGCATTTCGAACCGGCGGTGAGAACGTAGTGATCCTCGCTGGTGGCTGTATGTATGAAGCCTGATGACGTCACTTCCTATAAATACCATTAGAAGAAGGCTCTACTTATATCATCCACAGCTATAAATGACCTAGACAGGTGGTAAACCTATTTATGGATACTCTTTTGAAAAATGCAAGTTGCCTGGCTATCTTGCTTCAATAATATAAATCAATGACCCAGAACAAGTATGCAGGTATGGACTTTTCCCTGACTCTCGATCTCCACGCCTGCTCTGGGTCATTCATTCACAACCTATTGAACTCAGTGGTTTGGTATGACAGCCGGGCAACTAGCATTCTAAGCCCTCATGCACATGAGCAGGGGAGGACTGACAACTCATGGGGCCCCCGGGCAATAGGGGATCATGGGACCCCTGTGTCCTCGCCCACACTCAAACCACACCCAAAAAAGCCTATGAAAGGTACCAGGGGCATCTCATAGGGCCCTTTATTGATCCCCGGCCCTCTGGCACTGCCCGAGTTTCCGAATGGTCATTCCGCCCCTGCACATGAGACGTTTTGATAACGCTGGTAATGTTAGCTGTGTAAAGTCACATTAAAAACTTGAGTTTTTCAGCTTTTTTTTAGCTTTTTTGCATTAGCGTTTTTCCACGTTTTCCTGCGGTGTTTACCTTTTTTGTCCAAAAATGCCATGTTTTACTGTGTTTTGCCGCATTTTTCAGCATTAGAGCATTTTTACAGCTAAAAAACTCCTCTAGAAACCCACTAGTCCTGGGGTTTTTTTCCAGCCAAAAAACGTCCCTGCCAAAAAACATTGATTACAGTCTATGTGTGCATGGACACATAGGATAACATGCTGGGGGTTTACTTGCTGTAGAAAAAAATGTCAAAAGCCAAAAACAGCCGCTGTAAAAACATCCAGTGTGCATGAGGGCTAAAGGTTAATAATGGCAAACGCTGCAGAGAGGCCTCATCATAGGGCACTAGGAAAGG